CAAAAAAATTTTTAATAAAATGGAATTTTAATTGAAATTTTTATAATTTTTACTTTTTTAATTAGATTAAAGATTGTAGTCTTCTGTAGATAGTATTGGTTAAGAATCTGCTTCTAGCAGTTTGTTTGATAGAGATTCTTTTAAACTATTTACTGAAAAGAAATTAAAAGAACTTTAAAAAAATGAATTTATAGAAGAAATAATAAGATTAAGGGAGTAAATAATTAATATGAGACACAAAACAGAGGTAAAATAATTTAAATTAGAATTTTAATTTTAATTAATTATTTAATTGAAGGTTGAATACATGAATAAAATGTTAAAAGAAAACGCAGTCTCTCCTCGTACTTACACAACAAATAAATTAGAACTTGACAATTGGGCAAAGAAAGAATAAGATGAGTTGAAAGAGACTAAAAACGATTTCGAAAAAAGTTTAAAGAGAGCTATTGACTCAATTTCTAAAACAAAGTTGGACTACGAATTAACTAAAAAGTACAAGGAAAATCTTCATCACAATGAAATTCAAGGAAACAATAACAGTCCATTTTTGATATAAAAGCAGTTTTTAGTTGATAATAACTAAAATGATAATTAAAGTGATTATTCTATTGGCTAAAATATGAAAAATTTGTTGCCTGTAAGCTTATAAATTAATGAAACAAATACAGAAGAGAATCCATTAAATTCAATAAATAGTGGATTTGATAATGAAAATTTTCACAAGTTTAAAGAAGAATTAAAAGCCAATGCACTGAAGGAATTAAATAACTCCTCATATTATTCTTCTTCAGATGCTTAAATCAATAAATCCCCATTAGAAAGCTTGTCAAATAGGAAATATCAAAATAATAAAAAAACCAGCCAAGAGAATGATGATGCTGATGATTTAGTAAAAGTAGAAGAGAGATCTCCTTCTTAGTAAGGAGCTTTTTCAGATAGAAATAGATCTTTTGATGGTAAAAAAATGATTTTCTAAGAAGTTGAAGGTGGAAATTAAGATGATAAGTTAGAGAAAATTGTCAGTTCAAGCAGTATTAGTAATTAGAATAATAATAATAACAATAACTCTGAAGATCAAGTTATTTTAATTACTACAACCAGTAAACAAAATCTCCAATCGTCATGCGAGAGTTTTAACAGTTAATACGACCAAAAGAATCCTAAAATGAAAGATCAGTTATGGGACTCCTCTAATCATCTTAATCACAACCACGAATCATAAGAATACTAATAAAAAAACAGAGAAAGATTTACAAACGAGAAAATGATAATTAAAAAAGAAGAGCACCATGCTTAACATCCTCATTAACTTGGCTATGTAAAGAAATCTCCTCGATTTGAGTAATTTATTCTTTATATTAGGTATTTTTTAAGTTTTATTTTTATAAAAGTACTTCAAGCTTCTCTGATTCTAAAGATAACATCAAAGATTTATCTCCTAAGTCTGATTATACAGAGGTAAATAAATAAATACATAAAATTATTTGATAAAATAATAAAATTTTTAAAATATTAAATTTAAAAGTAGAACTTATTTATAGAAGATGAACCTCTCTATCAAAAAAAAATACAACCGATTTTCCCTTCAAATTAAATATAAAATACAAACATGCTCAATAATAATAATAATAATAATAATAATAATAGTTCAATTAGCAATAACAGCAATAATATTCAAACTGACAATCAACTAAATAATTAACAATAGATTTCAAGCAATTAACCTGATAAGAAAGATGAAAATACAAATTTCAATGCTCAGATAGTTGTAAACGAAGTATTCAATAGTATAAATGAGGGTATTTTTTTTAATCAAAACATATTTTTTTTGTTAATAGCACTTTATTAATTAAAAGAGATAAAAGAAAAGTGGAGAATGAATGCTTAGGTAGAAGAAAGATTAAATGAGTAGCTTAATAGATAAGGATGTATTGATAAATCTGATAGATATGGAATTCCTTCAAATCTTTATGTTATTGAGCAGTACATCATGAGTTTATTCTAATATGTCAAAAGTATTTTTACTTAATGAGTTTTTAAATTTATTTTTGCTTATTATTTTTAATTTAAAAATCAAGATTACTACAGACAAGAATTTATTGATAATATTAATACGCCTTTTGGATTTTCTCCTTAAAAAAGACTCAAATTAATTCATGGATATGACTCTTTTATAGAAGCTACCTCTGAGTAGTAGCTAGAAGAATTTAGCACACTTCCATTTGTTTTGTCTGAAGAACTATTTATTGAATTCGAGCAAAATATTATTGTAATTTTTTGTTAAAAGAAAATTTAAAAAAGTAAAATTTAATAAAAATAGGGAAATGGAGAAGAAGAGAAAGATTAGATTATTAAGGAATTTTAGCACATTCATAACAAAGCTATTTTTGATACTTTTAATGAAAGTTTAAATCTTTTTAGACCTTACTTCGCACTTGGAGGCTCTCCATATGCTTGGAGTAAGAGTGAAAAGAACATAATCTTTTGCTTTGCTACTTAATAAAACATAGATTCAATCCTAGAAAAGGCTAAGAAAAAAGTAATTGAATGGGCTTCATTCCTATGTGGAATAATAAATGAGCACGAAAATTTAAATAAACGTGCTTTACGCAGTGAAGAAGATTCTGAAACTGATGATAAGTTAAAATCTAGCTAGGAAAGTGACAAATCGCCTCTTTAAAGCTTATTAGAAAACAATAATCAACCAGAAAACGAGTACTTTGCACAATCACGTGAAGAAAGACTCTCCAGAATGCTTTTAGTTGAGGTAAACAAATTTAAAAAAAAAATAAATAGTTCAAGTTATATTTTTGAATTAATAGATTTTTGAAAACGAATACAAATGGTAATTATATGAAGATGAAAAGGCAGAAGTTTTAATGGAATTAAGTGATCTTGTTTTTGAAGAACTTGTAGAAGAAGTGGTCGACGAAATAGCTGATTCAATCTGAGTTTAAAATCAAGCCTTTCAAGCAAAAAAACCTAAAATTATTATATCCTTAAGTGAACAAATAATATCTGATAAAATATTTTTAAACCCAATAAGGAAAATAACAATTTAAATAAAATAGATTTCAAATAAATAATCGATCGATAAACTAAATAAAATTTTGTAATTTAAGATTATAGTTAAAATATTTTTAAACTAATTTACTAGATAAATAAATAAACTTTAAGTGTATACATTTATTTTCTTTTTATAAAGTAATTAACTTTTATAATTAATAATTTCAAAATATATTTTATTCTTCAAAAATATTCAAAGAGTCCTCAATTTTATTTAGAAACTATTATTTTTTAATTTATTAATAATTAAAATTGATAAGTTTGTTCTATCATTTTTTTTTAGTTTTCTTTATTTTATTGAATATAAAAAAAATTCTATACCTTATTCTATCATTTATATATATATAAAAATATATAAATCTTAAAAAATTGAAAAGAAAATGAAAACATAAAAATAAGACTTACATTTAAAAATAGAACCTGAATTTTTTTTAAATTGCAACAAGTAATAAAATTTCTATTCAAAAAAATAATAAAATGAAATAAAATATGTCTGAGTAAGATTGGTAAAATGTAAATAATGAAATAATTTATTATTCTATTTTAAAATATTTTTCTATTAATTAAAAGCATGTTAGCTCTAGAGTAAAGGATAATTAATTGTATATAAACTTAAGGTAATTATGAATTTTAAAAAAATACACATTAAAATATTTTGTAAATACTTGTTTTACTAATTATAAAAATAAATTAATTAGTCTCTAATTGAAACCTTAAGATGCAAAGAAATTTAGTTTAGCACTATCACAGTAAATTAATCTTAAAATCTTAAGAATCTACTCAAAGTAAATAAATAAATAACCAAATAAATAAAAAATGTAAATATTTTTGTCAATAAAGCAAGAATTAGTTCGAAGATTAGGGAATCTCTTTTATAGCTGAATTAGGATTGGCTAAATTATAACAGCTCGAAGAATTATATCTTGAATTTTCGTAGAGATATTATTTTTAATTGTAAAAATAATTAACTAAAAATATTTAAATTATAATAGCGAAAATAATTTTAATCAACTAGGAGCTACAAGTTTAAGTTTTTCATTAGGATAAAACCTCAAAATCCTTGAATTAAATTTATAGTAAAGTCAAAATTATAATTTAATTTCTATTTTGATAGAAAGCATAGAAAATACTGATAAATAGCACAAAATATTTATATTTAAAAAATCTAAATTTACTTTCAAATAAAACTTTTAAATTTACATAATATTTTTGTTACAATTTTAGCAGTAAAAAATTTACTTAATTAGTAAATAAAAAGAGTTTATTTTGAATAAATTTATTAACTTTTTTGAAAATTATTTAGAATACAATCTCAATAATTTTAAATAGACATTTGCATAATTATTAATTTTTTGTTTTAAAAGCTCTAATATGATTGGTGATGTTGGTTTGATAAATTTATCTAAAGGATTTTAAAAAAACTAAAGTTTATAAAAGTTAAATCTAATATTAGAGTATGATTTATGCTTTTGTTTAATATAATTTATTCAAATTAATTTAGTTAAACTTAAATAGCTAATTAAGGGATATCAGAGTTAGGCAACTCTCTATAAAAACTTCCTAACCTTTAAATCTTAATGCTGAACTTAAAGTAACAAAAAAGAGATAAAGCAACAATTATAATTTTTTTAATTTTATTTACAGCTATAATTTGATAAATGATGAGGGAATAACAAAATTTGGTAAATCCTTAGAGCAATGTAAAAATCTCTTAAGTTTAAATGCTAATCTAGTGTAATGTTATTGGATTAGATTATATTTTTATAGACATATTTTTTAATAATTTAATCAGGGCAAATTAAATTAAATTTTAAGGTGAATAAAACTTAGGTTAGAGCTTGAATAATTGTTCCAAATTAAGGGTTTTAGAGCTTTAAATGCAGTAAATATTATTAATCATTTTTTGAAAAAAATGTGTTTTTTTTATAAGCTATTTCTTTTGATATTTCTCATCCTACTAAATAAAAAAAGTTTTCATGCAGTTACCATGCAGGAAAGAAAACTCCTTAAATAATTACTGTTAAAATCAAAGTCTTTGATAGAATGTTTAGTAGTTAATGCGATTCCAATGTGATCATTTATTTTTAAAATAAGACAAAAACTAAATTAAATAAAATAGTATATCACAAATAATTATAAAAACCCATAACTTAACTTTTTAGCTTTACAAATAAAATTTAAATACTCTCTCTTTAGTCTGTTTGTTCAAAAACATTTAAAAATAGAAATAAATTTTATTAAAAGATAATTTTTGTTATTCAAAAATAAAAAAATGTAATAAATTAAGTGAAAAATTAATATTAATAATTATTTTGCCTCTATTTATTTTTACAGTTAATAAATTATTCATTAGAAACAGTACTTTCAATTTAGCTAAAACGTTAAAAGTTATATATCCAGTTTAAATAAATGCTTTTTTAACATATAAGGTTACTCAAAATAGCAAAAAGATTGGCTTTCAGATAAAAATAAATTTTAGAGATATCTCTTAAATAAATTAAATAAAATATAAATTAAATTTAAAATAAATGAGATTGATCAATTAATCAGTTGAAATAAATTGAATAAATTAGTTACTATAAATTAGATAAATTTTACCTTATACTTTTTTTGCTTTTGAGGTGTAAAATTAAGGAATAACTTTTGAGCGTGTTTATTTATTTATTTCAAAATATTTAGATTAAGGATTAAGGATAATAAATTTTATTTATTATTGAAATAAAGCTAAAAATTAAAATAAAGGACCATTTCAATTTTTTAATGAATAAATGAATAAGTAAAACTAATGTAAATATATAGAGAGGTTGTTCAGTACATGAGAATTATTATTTGTGACTTATATTAACTATTATTACTTATATGTAGCTAAATAAAAAGTCTATCTAAAATCAAGAAAAGATTTATTTTATCTTTACATAATTAAATTTAAAGTCAATCTGTCAGCCAATCAATTAAAATATATATCAATAAGAAAAAGTAAAAAACATAATTAAAAAGTAATTAAATAGGATTTTTAATTAGGCAAAAAACATTATTCATTCATTCATTATTTTACAATAAAATGCCTACTAAAATTAATATTTCTAATAATCCGCACGTCTACTAAAAGAAGAAGCATTTTAGAAGACGATAAAGTCACTAGCCAAAATTATAGAAAGATGATGAGATGCCAAACAAAGAATAGAATTTAACTAATGAAGATGATTTTTATTATAGATACAATCAGGAGCTAATTAAAAAAGAAAAGACTGTAAAATAGGCTTAATTAGCTTTGCTTAAACTTGCTTCATTGGAAAATCAAGAAGAAGAGCAAAAACCAGATTGGTCTAACTAAATTTTGTTTCCAAAACACAAAGTTAACTTTTTGAAGTAGTTAGGAAACTACATGGAGGATTGCTCAGTCAATACAACAAATTTTTTTATAGATGAATCAAACGAAATGAAGTCAGTAAGTAAAAGTAAATCTAATAATATAAAACAGACTCGAGGAGCTTCTCTTGATGCGAAAATAATTGATAAAAATAAAAATAGCAGCAGTCCCTAAAGATTAAATATTTATGATAAGAAAATATATGCAGGGATTTTGAAAGCTGACTTGTAGAATTTAGATAAAGATATATTTTAGAAGAGGTCTTAAAGACAACCTCGCTCTTTTTCCAAAAATTATATTATCGAAGACTTGAGTTAGTAGTAATAATAATAATAAGAATAGCAATCATATAGCATAGATCCTACTAAGTAAATTTAATAAAAACATTAAGAGAGTCAGTGCTTAGTAATTCATCCAGCGAGCTCTTAAAATACAAATAGAGAATAGACAGCATTAAAGCACCTTAAAGAAACACAAAACACATTTCAAATAATATAATAGAAAGAATTTAATTCTTCCTCACCTTTCCGATTATATCCTAGTTCTAAGCATATTAGCTAAGCCGTCATTAAAAATAATCAAAAGCAATCCTCATATTCTATTTTAGAGCATGAATCTCAAGACGATGATTTAGGAGAAAATAATGCAAACTAAGATTAAAGTTCTGATTCAACAAGATTTACTCCGCTTTCCCTTGATAGAAAAAAGAGCAAGTAATACCATTAAAATTTAAAGAGATATTTCCATGAAAAAGAAAGAGATTAAAGTTTTTTACAAAATAATTCGAGTTCTAATTCGATGACATTTTGTAATTCAAATGGTAAAAACTTTGAAAATATTATTAAAATGAAGCCATTCGTCATATCTATGCTGCATAATTCTACCATGATCTCTAATAATAGAGACTTGAACTGTGGCTTAGAAAACATTAATTAGAAGGATGGAGAAAGCTAATATCACCATGACAGCGAAAAACAATAATTTTATAATGCCCAATAACATTATTTGAAAACCAATTAATCAGATCGTTCTACTTCGAATCATATTACTAATAAATCTATATCTAATTTTAACTCAATTGAGGACGAGGATGAGTACAAGTACTTTACTTAAAAGAGAAAGGTAGTCTTTTCATCTGAGAAAAAATAAATTTAAGATAGACCAAAGACTTCTAGTATTCATAATAAGTACTAAAGTGAGCAAGAAATTAATCAGCAAAACAAAGAGAAAATCCTTGACATAATTAATAATACTAATTAATAATCATTGATTTCAAACAGTTTTGGTGGCATTATTATTAATCATCCTAATTTCAAGAATTTAAATTATTAAAATTAACATAAAGAGCATTCAAAGGAAAACAATAATGATAGTGATTTATTTATAAATAAAGGTGCTCTGTAGAATAAAAATAAATTTAACATGATTACAAATAAGCAAAAAAACTAAAAAAGATAGTAATAGCAGCAGTTAATCTGCAATACAACAAGATAAATATAATAACCATTTTAAAAATCAAGTAATTATGAGCGTAATTCAAGCTTATATTAAAATTAAGCAGCAACTGAAAGAACTGGAATAAAAGTTCATCCAAAATCAAGCAGAGCTGTGACAATTGAAAAAGCCAGAAATTCAATAATAAACAAAAACAATTAAAATATTAGCTTAAACAGTAGTTTTAATGGAATTAATAATTACCTCAATAGCAATAAAAGCAATGATATTTTTAAATAATCTTTTCATCAAAACTAATAAATTGTTTTCAATTAATTTGCATAAAGAAATAACTTTATAGGCTAAATAGAATATCAACAACAATACGACAAATTAAATAAAAAAAATAATATTTTTAAATGATCCTTATTTCTAAAAAAAAATAAAATGTAGATAGATAGATATTTAATTTATTATTTATTCAAAACTAATTCATTCAACTCAAAATAAATAAAAACATCAAATAAATAATTTATTTTATTTATTTATTATATTAATTTTTCTAATGAAGCTCATATAAATTTGTATATATATTAATGAAAATTTTTAAAATATTTACTTTTAATAACTTTTAAATAAAAAGAAAAAAATTTATCATTATAAATACATCCTTAGATTTACAAATTTTTAAAACTTTTTAGAACTATTTGATCATTTATATATTTATTACTTATTTTTTATATACTTTATTTTCTAAAATATAAAATAATATTTGTATAGACATATTTTTTAAAGGTGGATTTTTACTTACTGTCAAGAAACATTTTTAAAATTTTACATAAGAATGAAATTTAGAAGTTTTGCAGTTTAACAAAAATAAAAATAATACATATTAATCTATTTAAAAAAATAAATTTATTTTTTAAGTTAAATACAAACATTGATGAATAAATAAATGAATGAAGCAAATATATTTGATAAAATATATTGTCGTTAAATTTAATATGCATAAATAACTAAATTTTGAACAAAGAATTTATTAGTGGTTAAAAAAAACCTGCTTAATTCAATAAAAAAATAATATATTTATTAGCTCTTAATCAATATTAATCGTATTCAGTATTTGCAAATAGCTATTTTTAAAGTAGATTTAAAGTGGAAATAATAATATAAATCAATTTTTTATCAAAAATATGGACTAGAATTAGTTTTAAAGTAAGAATAGTTATTATTTTCCATAAAAATAATTTTTTAATATGCGATTTTAAAAAAGAAAAGTTTCTTACATTAGAATACAAAACAATTGAGTATTAAAATGGATTTTATCAAGGCTATTTAAAGAATAATTTAAGACATGGATTAGGATTCTATTTTTGGGATAATGGACATATATTTTTTGGTAAAATATTCAACTATTATTTAATAAAAAAACTTTATTTCTTTGATATATATTCACTTCACTTCAAAATAGGAAATTGGGAGAATGATACAATTGAAGGGAATGGTATATTTTACTTTCCAAAAGGCGGTTATTTTTTTGGGAAGTTTATAAATAATAAGGCTAACGGATATTGTTAGTTAGCATACTAAGATGGCTCTTCATAATAGGGAATTTGGAAAGAAGGAAATTTGTAAGGAAAATGTCTAAGCTTTAAAAATAATTAATGGAAATATGAAGAATATTTTTAAAACTCAGTAAAAGTTTCTTCTGTTAGCGATTTATCAAAATCTACTTAAATGTCTCTTTTATCATTTTTATTAGAGAAAATATTTCATATAAATAATGATACTAAAATTTATCAAACAGAGACAGCCTTTAGATATTGTCATCCTCATTATAATAATGTCAAATAAAATTTATTTTGAAATATAATATATTTATTTTTTTTATTCTCCTTATCAATAGATATTAATAGAAATTAATTTTGCTGAATAAACACTATTTTTATTAGCAAATACAAATATTGTGGATTAAGAAGGTGGCTATGGTATTCTTCATCATAACCTAAAACCTATAATAAGAGGATATTTTTAAGTAAAGTATTGATTGATTTTTTGAAATTAACACAAATGTTATTATAAACAGCAAGGAAAACTAAACGGACTTGGTTGTATTCTTTAAGAAGGAGAAAGTTTAAAGCCATCATATTTGAATAAAGGCTAATTTGTAGATTTCAATTTACAGATTTTAGATGGAATCTTTATGGATGGAGAGTTTTAATATGGTATTTAATTTCTTTTTCTAGTTATAAATTATATTTTATTTAGGCGTATAATATAGATAGTAAGACGATATATCTTAGTTATGCTAAGTTTTAAATGGCTAGATAAATAATATTTCTTCCTAAAAAGGTTTCATAGAGTACAATTTGAGTAATTTTAAATCAAAAATATTTTCTTTAATGCTTATTTTAATTAAAGAAAGTTACAAGCATCCTTTAAAAGACTCTAAATTTTATTTTGATAAGGCCACTCCTTGTAATTTAGTTTCTTTAAGTTATTTACAACTTCTGCAACTCGATAATATATAATGTTTTCCAAGTAATTTGAATGCAAGTACAAAAATATAATCTTCATGTAATTAACTGAAAAATATTTCATTTTTTTATTTATATTATTATAAAAAACAGTAAAACAGAAAGATAAAAGCCTTGCAAGCAGTAAATCTAAGTAAAAATCATTTACTGACTCGCCTATAAAATAGTCCTATAACCAAAATCTCCAACAAAATTTGCTTTTAAACAGTCAAATATAAATGACAGTTAGCAAGTAATTGCTCAGCCCTAAAAATAGTGAATGTGAATAAATTGATTATATGACATTGCTATACGATATTTAAAACAGGAAAAAAGTTTTTGGAGATCTGAAATAAAGTTTAGATAAATTTTAAATAAAATAAGAAAACTAACTTATGGCTGATTATGTTTCAGGTCAAGAGTTAGAAGTACATTAAAACATACAAAATGATAATTCTAATTGGAAAGATTTAATCATTAAAGAATTAAATATTTCCAAAACTAAATGAAGACCATTTTAACATTAAATATGAATTTGTATTTTATTAGAGTTATAATAAATGTTTATAAAAAGTAAAATTAATAAACCTGTAAAAAGATAATAAACTAATTTTCTACCTATTTAAATTATCTTATTTTATTAATTTAAATTATATAAAATAAGTAAGCAAATATTGAATGAATATGTTTAATTATTTTCATTTTTGAGATTTTGTTTGAATTCTTTTTATTTTTTCTGAAATTTTATGGATCTAACTTGCATCTTTTAATGCAGAGTAGATTTTGTAACTTTGTTAGTAATGATTTAATGCATCTTCTTATCTACCAGGTAAACTGAAAAAAAGATCACCTATTTTTTCATTAAAAAGAGCTATGTCTGGATTTGTTGTTCCTAAATGAAATTGCATAACATCAATAGCTTTTCTAAAATTAGCTATCGCTTGCTATTTTTTATCTTATTTCTCCTAAACAATCCCTAAATTATTATATGTTATACTAAATTGCATGTCGTTTTCACTTCGAATAAGTTTCTTTTTTATATTTAACACCTCTTCAAAACCTTTTTCTGCTTCTTTATACTTTTATAAATTTGTATAAGCGTTTGATAAATTCTCTAAAGATTTAGCATACTCTAAGCTATCTACAAATTTATTAAAATAATTTAATTATAATTTGGAAGAATATATTATTTATTTATTTAAATTAATTCAAATTATTTATCAAACTAAAATATTTAATTTCATTGAAAAATTACTTAAAGAAGAGACTTGCCTTGAAACATCTACAGCTTTCTAAAAGGATTAGAGAGCCTAATCATATTTACCGTTCTTTAATAATATTTAACCAATATTGTTGTTTATTGGAATTAAATTGTATAATTTATTTTGTTAAAGGGCATTTTATTCTGCTTTCCTGTAATAAGTAATTGCATCAGCATGTTCGTTAAATACTTAAAATAAGAATCCTTTTTCAATAAAACTGTGGTAATCTTCTTTTGGATGAGCAGCATGAACTGAACTTATTGCTAAAGATTTACTTCCCAGTGACATAAAAGATTGATATAACTTTTTATAGTTTATAAAACTATCTTTCTACTTAGTAATATCTAAGCCTTTCCTAATACAAAATTTGTAAGGTTAAAGTAAATTTCTAATATTTTTTGTATCCATTCTTGCAAGTGAATCATAGTCCGTTAATTGTTTTATAATTTAATTGAAAAAAGGAGAGTATTATTATTTTGGAGAAGATAAAGCATTAATCAAAGTTCCTAAATTATAGAAATCAGAAGCTTGAGCATTATAATTACCTACTGTTGTGTTCATTTTTAAAAGTTGTTGTTGCTACGGTGACATAAATTCAAAGTACCCTTTCACTTAATACAAACTATTTAAGCCTTTTCCTTAATTTTGTTAACCCTTTAACTGCATTTGATTTATGTGCTTTAGTTTCCATCTTTCCTAGTGAAAAACAACCTCAAAAGGAGAAAAGCTGCCTAATAGCAAATTAAAAATACTTAGTGTTATAATGAGAATAAAAAAATAAAATATTTCTTGTTCTTTATTTAAAATATAAAAATTATATTTTTGCAATTCTAAAAATCAATCAATAAAAGTTAAAATAAAAATTGATTAAAAAAAATCCAATATAAATTTAATTCTTTAAAAAATAATATATATACGGTAAAGGTTCATATATTAAGGCCTGTTTATAAAAATTTGAAAATGTTGTTTAAATAAGCCCGTTAAGGCAGGTAAGTCAGGTGTCTTAACTGAAATCGAGGTGGCCTTAATATATGAACCTTTACCGTATATTCAATGAAGGAGATGAAAGAAACTAAAAATATGTTAATATATTAATTTTTACCTAATACATAGCCTCTGTCATGAAAATATAAAATTCCTTCAAATATGTTAGAAAGAATGGCAATCATTTCTTACTCACTATATCTAAGCTATTTCTTTTCAAGCTCATTAATAACATCCATTAGAGAATATTCTTCTTATTCTCTTAGTTGTACATAGTAGTCTTCTCCAAATGCATTTTAATAATAAAATACTTTAGCTAATGGTAGAACATATTTACTTCCTTAGCTTAAATCTTGATTTTCATTTTATTGTATTTTATCATTATTTATCTAATTTAGAATTTTGTTTTGATTTTAATTATTTTTTTGGTTTGGTATGTTGATTTTATTTAGCTGTTAAGGCGTTTAATTTATTTATTTGTTTTAATGTAAATCTTTAGGGTTTTTTTAGTTGAGCACTTAAGGAGAAGTCTAGTTTACTTTATTATTTAGAATCTAATTTTAGTTTTTTTAAGTAACATTAGCTTGTAAAATAAAAGAATCTATTTCATCAGTGTTTTCACTAATTATTCTACTAAAATGTATTTAGTAATTCTTATTCTTAAGCTTTTATATATCTGTCTCTATTTATCTTTGCTTTTCAGTTGATTAACCGCTTCTTTATTATTGCAATTATAACTGGAGGTAGTTTGAATTATATTTCACATCGTAAACAAAATTATAATAATTTTAAATGCTAGCATCAAAGAAATCAAATTATTTTTAGAAATCTTGATCTAAAAGGATTTCATATTTTGTAGATTAAAGAGACGATTGGAATTCCTGATTCTTTTTATCTCTTTTAACTCTCTCTCCTATTTTTGTTTTAGCTTTTAATTTTAAAAACTGACAATTTGAATTGAAGTTAGCTACAAAACTTAATTCGCTTGATATGGGAATCTAGTTAATCTAAGCAAAATGATCTATATTAATCTCACTTGAAAATTCAGCAGAAATTTGTTAAAGTCTGCTTATAATAATATACATCACTTCAATATTTAAAAGCAAAAGATCTGTTTTAGATAGAATATAATGACAAATGTTTTTTAGTTCCTCCTTAATGAACTCATTTTTAACTTAATTCAAAAGACTTAATTAATTTTAAGTGTATTCTTACAGTATTTCAAAGTACTTTTTCTCATTTTTATGACTATTTTGAGTTCTTGCAATGCTTCTAATTTCCATAATAAATCTTGTTTGCTTTAAACAAACTTTTAACTAAATTATTACTTAAATATTAATGAATTTAATACAGAATATTTGTGAAAAGCTTTATTAAATGATTTTTTGATATGATTTGATTTGCTTTTTAATTTAAAATGATTGATATTAATCATAAATTAATTAAAAAAGAAAGCAAATTAATATATCTGATCAAAGTTTAAAATAATTAAGTATTAATACAAATAATAATTAATTCGTTAATAAAACAAAGAATATTTAAGTAAAATTAAGTTCTTTTGAAATTAGAGTATTTAGCTGTTTTCATCACAATATTTTTAATATTGGCTTTATCTATCTATATATTTTCCTAATATATCATTTATTAGCCAAGTAAATATTAAATACAATTTAGTTTTACTAACATTCATTTTCTCAATACTAAAAATATGGCTGAATCTCAAAATACTAAAAATTCATAACAACAATAACAAAGCTCTAGTTCTTCTATGTAAAGCTAATCAAGTAGCAGCAGCAGTAAAGATTTTTTTAATTTATCAAAAACTTGCGGAGATAATTGCAGTATTGTGATTTTAGTAATTATGATATTACTGACATTAATTTTCTTTGGGATATTAATTTATTGCAAATTTTTCAGAAAAACTCAAAAAGGTGGTAAAAATATTATTGTTTAAGTGAAGGCAATATCAATTAACTAATCTGTATTGGAACACGTCAGATCGCTTTCTGAAAAGAATATGAAAATGGGAATAAAAACAAAATCATAATAATAAATCTATCCTCATAATGAAAGCATTTAAGGTGATGCAAGAACACAAATATAATTAGAGCAAGATTATAAAAATTTTCTAAATAATTAAGCATTAAATAATATTGCTAATGGGAAACAAATGTTGGATTATGATAACAGTGTGCAATTTTTTAGAGAATCTTAATAAAATTATTACTATAAAGACTGTCAGTCACAAAATAACCCTGATTTTCAAATGTAGTATAATAATTAAAATATTTAACATAAGCCAATTACAGTCTCTTAAATGTAAATAAGGAATGATTAGCACGGTTTTTCTAATAGCTAAAAAACTAGATTTATAAAATCAGAGCAAGGAAATTATCCAATTGAGAGCTAAAATATATTTCCAGATAATCAGAGAAATAACTCTAGCGTATCAAATAAATAGTTAAACAATGCTAACAAAAAGAGTGGACTTATTCTCAATGACTACAAAAACAAGAGTTAAAATCTCTAAAATTTATAGATTATAAATAATAACCCACAAACAAACACCAACCCAAACCTATAAATTTAAAATACAGAAAAAATAAATGATAAATAATTTAAATATGGTAAAGTTAGACTTGCCAGCTTAAATCCTTAAGGAATTAAGCATTAAATGGAAACAGTTAAAGAAGATTAAAATGAATTAACCTCAAACACAAAAGCAATTGAAGTTAATAAGAAGTATAGAAGAAAGTTAAATATTTAAAAATAAATTTAAAACGATCCTTCAATTCTGGACTCATCTTTAAACAATAGCGTCTAAAATCCTGAAACCTCTATGTAGCTTAACAATTCTATCCTAAATTAATTACAATTTAGTTGCAAAAACTAGAATTCTAAGTTACTTGGTGACTATCTAGAAGAATAGTAAATTAATATGTGAACTCTTTAATTAATTAATCCTTAAACAATTTTAACAAATATTTTAACTAATAAATAAATAAATATCCTTAAAACAAACTAGCTCTTTAAATTAAAAATAGTTAAATTTAAATTTATTATTTCTATTAACAAATTACACTAATTAATTTTCGTATAATAAGTAATTAATTAATTTCAATATAAAAATTCATTACATTTTGAAATTTTGTTAATAAATTTGTTTGAATTATCTTTATTTTAATATAGAGCTTTTAATTATGTTTCGAACAACAATGTAAAAATAAATAAAAAATGTAAAATAAATTACATTCTATAAAACTCTTAAAACTTAATTTATTTTTTATATAACCTCTTTAGCAGTAAGTATCAATCACCATATCTAAAAATCCTTTACTTCTTTAAAATCTTGCAAATAAATATTACTATTATAGATATTGAATAGTGTAAAAAAGTAATTTTCAAAGGGTTTATATGTTTACCAATCTTCAAATTCATACAATTACTTGCCATCAATTTTGAATCTAAACACTTTATTTTTAAGCCAAATCTAAACTTTTATTTCTTTAAATGATCTAATTCCATACTATTTATAATCTCTTTAATTGACAAAATCTTAAATAATAGTATTCGTATTGTAACCAATAGCTAATCCTAATGTAATAGTAAGAGGTTTAAATTCTTCTCTGGTTTCCACATTTTTAATTGTAATTTCATATTTTTTTTCATGATTTAATACTTGATCTACATAAAATTGATGCCTTTAAGTAGCTAGTATATGTGTATAAGATTAATATTAAATTGAATTGAATTGTCCCTATTTTTGTGTAGCTACAACTTAAATTGGCAAGTGTATTTCATTTTATACTTAATTGCTAATTTCTGATGAGATTTTTGATAACAATTAAGAGATATCATAAAATTTTTCATTTAAAATAATATTACTAATAATTGTTTTTTAAGATTCGAAATAATCTTTTTTTGTTTTTATTTTCTCAAAAAAGGAATTAGACATATTGATTAAGGTATTTTCGCTTTCTTTCAAACGTACAAAATAGGAAACTAAAAAACTCTTGACACTGGAATTAAGAACTTTAAAATCATCTTTATTATTTATTATAGTTTCCTTAAATTGTTCAAACTTGCTCATTTCCTTTATTTTCTAAATTAAGTTGTGTTTTTCTACATCTAAATTACTAATGTCAGAGATTACTTTTTTTTCAATTTTGAAAATAAAGTCATTAATTTCTTTCTTCAGCTCTTAGAAATAATTTCTAACCAATTCTATTTCATTAAATTCACCAGAAGAACCAAACTTACAAATAAAATCGTTTAATTGTTTGAGATTTTTATCTTAAAAAGGAGGCCAGTTTTTAATAAAACTCTTATCATTTAAAATACTATCTATTGAAACAAATTTACTCACCTATAACTCATTATTAATGACACAGTTAAGACATCCTACTTAATATTGTAAAGTATCGTCAAGAAAAACTACTGATACTTTACTTTCTGGGTGCAATAAACAGTTTGCTATATTAAAACCACCTTAATTATCTTAAAAATTTACTTAGTTCATCAAAAAAAACTTTTAACACTAATTTTATTTATCTAAAATATTACCAATAAATAAACTTTGATTTTTAAATTAAAGGATTGAGAAATTATTATTATTATTATTTTTTCAAAAATATTAAATAAGAAATTCTTGTATAATGTTAATGAAATATTAAATTAATTAGCTGTATTTCATTATTGTAAAATTATTTATTATTTATATAAAAGCTATCTTTTTTATCATATTTTTAAATTTAAAAAAAACCATTTTTATTTTGATTTAAAACATTAAAAAATGTTTAAAAACTTAAAAGATTTAATGAAAAATAGATAAATTAATTTTCGTTATCATAAAAATGAATAAAAAAGAATATTCTAAGAAGATGAGAATAAACAACAACAATATTTACATGTATTATTAAACATTTTTAGAAGTAATTATACATTATTTCATTATTAGACTTAACAATAACATTATTTATTTATTGCTTTATTGCTTGTTAATATAAATTAAATTAGTATTGTTTCATTAATATAAAAAATTAAAAGAAATTTCTTTATATTAATATAAAAAATCAATAGTAAGTAATTAGAATCAAAAATGAGCTCACAAAAGTAAGAATAAATCAAATAAAAGATAGAGGAAAAGCAAAACAAGATGTTGGCTTATTTGACCAATGAAAATAAAAATGATAGTCAAATAAAGAAGTAATTCTACTTTATGGCTTAAAATCACGAAAAGTATCCTTTTATGAGTGATGATGACTTAACTTTATTTAGATCATCTTTAAAAAATATATAATTGCAAAATTTTGCCATTTTCTCTGTTTCCGCTGTATGCTCGGCCGCTATTTATAAAATATGTGGAGGATTTACTCCTAATGAGAAAAGACCATGGTTAAGAAGATTAAGACATGTTTCAGTAGTTGGTATCCCTTCGTTAATGATTCCATTTATATACTTCACTGTAGTTCCTAATGAGAGCTAGCAAAGTATAGTGAATCTATCTCATAAATATAGAGCTAAATTGATAGATCCAGAATTTAATAAAAAATTTATTTAAGAATAAATGGAAAGATATAGAAAACAATTAGAAAAATAATGAATTAATTAATTATTATTGATTTTAAAATTAAATAAATTTTGACTGAATTTAAATATTTAACAGTTTTATTTGCTATTGTTTTAATCATTGTGAATACTTTCATCATTTTATTTGAGTAAAGTAGATAATTTTAATTGCTTTAAGTAATTCTATTATGTTTTATAAATTTAACAAAAAACTTAGTTTAAAATATTCAAATAATAAAATTATATTTAAATTCAATAATTTTATTTATTTTTCAAGAGAGAAAAATTATTGATATTATTTTGGTAAACTAAATAAATTCATTTTTAAAAAATTACTTTCAGGTTTTTATTAAAAATTAATTTCAAATTATCTTCTTTAATTGAATTTTTTTGCTTTAGTTATGAAAATAACTTTAAAAAAAATACCTTAAAGTATTTTTAGTTCAATAAAAGATTTAGTATAATTAATTTTAAAATTATTTTTTAAGATTTTCATTTGAATCTTTTAAATAAAAATATATTAAATAGCCATATTAATTATTCATTTATTCAGTATATATTAATTTTTTCTTTTTTTAAATATCAAAATAAATATTTACTTATATTTTTATTTATTTAAGTTGGCCAATATAATGTTGCCATTTAATAATATATATTTCTTTTGATGTTTAAGTTTTCTTTAAATGATGAAATAAAAATTTCTTTAAATAATATATTCAATTAAAATAAAACAAAACAAATATCTAAATAAATTTATTTATTTTTGTTAAAGAAAATGACAAATATATAAATGTTTTTTTATAGATACCTGGTTAATATTTATATTTATTTATAGAAACCTTATTTTTAGCTTTATTTAATTCTTACTATCTGTCAACTAAATTTCTGGTATTTAATTAATAGAAAATTAAATAATTAAATTAAGCACCATAAATTAAGCCAATAAAAATTAAACTTAATTTTCAGATATTTATATAGTGCCCATAGTCGATAGTATTATTTTTGATATGATATGAATGATCAGAGTATATCATGGTTGGTTCAAGTGAGCTATTAGTCTAAGAATCATAGTTTAAAAACTAAATGAGGTTGTCGTTAATAATTTGGAGAGTTCCAAAACCTGGATCAAATGACCTGCTTAAAACCCATGTAGCGTTATAATATACATCAGTGTGTGCCATATCATCGCATCCAGCATTTCCTTGTAATATTTACATATAACTCTTAGGATTCAAAATAATATTTTGCTTGAATTATTAATAGGGCATTGTGTCATTTTAATACATAGGATAGTATTTAGTAGTTTCATGCTAATGAGCAGCCAAGAAAATATCAACTCCATACTTATAGAAGAGTTAATCGAATTATTGATATTGAACATAATAATCATAACAATCAGCTCTTCCTACACAGTAAATAGGCTTGTGGCCGAGGATAAATATCCATGGTTGATTTTTTCTATTCAAATTAGCAGCAATTAAATCTTTTTCTACTGATTATAACATTGATTCTTAGATTTATGGATCGATAACTCCAGTTCCATTGTTAAAGTAGTGCAAATTTACAGACAAGAAATGAACTTTTCCAATATTAAAGGAGAAGACATTGTTATTTTGCTAGCTAATATTGTTCATCATATGGAATTTTTGATTAACGAATGCAAAGTTTTAGCAATCTTCATGGTTACCAGGACTAAACATGTATGGCCAATAACTATAAAAAGGTTCCATAGAATTCATATAAATGTCTCCTTTAGTGGCATTGTTGTTATAAAACTCATAGGCGTAATCTCCTAAAAAGAGGATACCGTCGTATTCTTTCTTTTCCTCAACCAATTTAGATAAAGAGGAGATAGTATAATTTCCAGGTACTGAGATTTCATGATCTCCAAATGCTAAAAATTGTTGAATTTCATCTGATGATCTGTCTCTCTTAGGAATAATGCCTGTAAATACTCTTGGACTTTCATTAATGTTTCCATATATTTTGTAAGTAAATCTCTTTTAAAACGAGCATAAATCAAAAGTAAAATAGTGAACGAATTTCTAGTAGTAAACTTTTTCACAATTTTTTCCATTGTGGCAAAATTTCTCTCCATTCCAGCTTTATTCAACTACTGATTGTTTTACACCTAAAATAGGTTCAGCATTTTATTAGAAGAAATTCTTAGTTTCAAATAGTTCTGCTTCTTCATTAGTTTCAGGAAAGACAATAACATATGAATCTGAACATTAGTTAACAGTAGAAAAAGAAATCTAAAGTGTGTTAGTGCAACCTATTTCAGAATAGTCAGGAGAATAATACTCGCCTAAAGTCATGTAAACTGTTTCAGGATAGCAGTTATCATTTGAACTTACTAGACCTACTATAGAAAATAGGACCATCAAAAAGGCCACTTTCATACTCATTTTTCTAATTTGTAAATAAAATCCAAATTTAAAACTTTTGTTTTCTTTTCTTAATTAATTAATTATTTTCATGGAGCAAACTAAAAATATAAAGTAATTCCCCGATTAAGATTACATTATTTTCTATTAAATTATTAAGAAAAAATACAATATTGAAATATTCTTAAATACCATTCACTATCAGAAGCTAATCATCAAGGATTGAATGAATCAGTGATAAATTATATATACTTGCTTCATAAAATTTTATGATTGCTTTAATCATTATTTAAAAGTTAAGATATTTTGTAATTGTAAATCTCTCTTTTCTATTAGTAATTTTGATGATTTAAATAATTTATTCTTCTATCCATTAAATCAAAGAAAGCAACAATAGTTTTCTCATTAAATTTATAAATGTAAAAATTTGTTTTTTTTCTAAAATTAATCTATTTTTTAATTTCATTTTTTTTAAAATAAATAATTCATCTAATCAAACAACCTGTTGTTAATATCTTTTAGACAAGTTTTATTAAAAGTCTTAAATTATAAATGAAATTTATTATTCTTAATAATTCAAAAGTCATCCATAATTTACAATTTTAAATATATTTTTCATTTATTTTTATTAATTTCAAACAAAATCTAAAATCTTAAAAATACTTGTATAATTTAAAGTTATGTTTTTTTTATTTCATGATTATTTTATGAACTCTCAAAGTAAAAAATAAATCCTGAAATTAATAGTTTAAAATTAAACATTTTGGGTAAAAAATATTTAAATATTTTATGGTATAAATTATAAATTCTATTTAAATTAAGAAACACATTTAAAAATAATTTTGTGAAATAGAATAAAATTTTGAAAAAATGTGCTGTTGTAAATTGATAATACTGTTTAAGCTTATTAAATATTAAAAAATAAAATAAGAATTTAAATTTATTGAGAAATAACTGAAAAAATCAAATAAATAAAAGTTAAAAAACGCAATTAATAGTTTAAAAAAATAAAAAATAGGATATTTAATTTAAAAATCATAAATTCATTGATTTTTATAAAAAATTATTTATTTTAAATATATAATTACATTATTAAAAATCTTTTATTTTCTTAAAAAGAAATAATATGCTTAATAATTTATTATCTTATTCTAATTTATTTTATATTTAATAATTTTTAGATATTTCTATGAATAACAGTCATTTAATTATCTTTATATTGAAAGAAATAAATAGAAGTTAAATTTATTTTAAAATATTTAGTTTTATGCTAAAAATAATTTTTTTGTTTTAAAATATTTATATTAATAAAGCTGCTTTTTATTCTTCCAAAAAAATACATCTAAAAAAACAAATTAAAATAAAAAAAATTAAATTGCTCTAAACATTCTTTAAAACATGATGAATGTTTTATTTGAATCAAATATTTTATTTTTTGTTTCTAATTCGTTACACATACATAATATTTCATAAAAAATTTTATATATTTCATTAAAGTGCTAACTAACTACACTCTTTTTCAAAGTTTAATTTATCTTTTATACTTTATTTTTAGATTGAAAAAAAGTAATATTCCAACACTAATTTTTATTAAACTGATCTAAATTTAGCCAAATTTAATATTTTAAGATTTTTTATCTTAAAAATTCTTAGTTTCAAATGAAGATATAATCAACATAAATTAATTCCTCATTTATTGGTTAAATAATTTTTAAAGAGAGCATGTTAAGAATATTTATAAAATTAAAGTGATGAAATTTCTTTTTTATATTATTTTTATTAATGTTTTTCGTTGTTTTATTAATTTAAAAAAAATTTTTTAATATCTCTCAAATCTAAAAGTGGCTACCTAAATACTTCAAAAATACAATAAATAAGCGGAATTATTATTTGATTATATTTTTTTGTTTGCAAAACTCATAATAATTTAGTTTTTGTGAAAATAATATTTTTAAATATCAAATAAATATTTTTATGTATTTATGATATTTCATTTCAATTTTAGTTGAAATTCTTCATTACTTTAAAAATATTTGAAAAAAAATCTTTATAAATATTTTTTGATTTAATATTAAATATCTCGCAGCATTATTTACTTTTTTTAAATAGTTCTTCTACTTTATGGTCAAATGGGGCTACAAATTTCAAAAATATATTAAATTGGCAAAATTTATTTTTGTAAAATAGTACTTTCTGAAAAGTTCTAAGTTGCATAAGGCATAATTAATATGAATTAATTAGTTACTGGTATATATTTTGCTATTAATAACGATTATAAGGAAATAATTCACAAAAATTAATATAATTAATTAACAAACTAATAAGTTTTTTTGCTAATTAATTTTAAGACATCTAACAATCAATCTATTTAGAAAATCATTTATAAAAATGTCAATACAAATTGAAATTAACTCAGAGGGTGAAGCTTAAAATTCTTAAATTGTTGGATATCTCCTTGAAAGAGGATACAAAATAATCAAGCAGATTGGAAAAGGATATTATGGAGTTGTTTACAAGGCGCTGCATATAAAAGATAATACAATTGTAGCAATCAAAGGAATGGTTTTTAATTCACAAAATGAGAGGTAAAAGCTAATGAATGAATTCTAATGCCTTAAATCTATTGATCACCCAAATGTTATTAAGGTCTTAGAATACATAGCCTATCCAGATAACTCATGTGGCTTTTACTCTATGGAATTCTGTCAAAGTATTTCTTATATTTTAATAATTTATATTCTTAACATTAAGCCTCGATTTGTTTTTTTACTCAATACACATTCAATATAAAAGGTGATTTGGCAGAAGTGCTTGAAAAACATAGAAAACAAAAAACTTGGTTAAATTAAGAAGATATTTATTTTATAGCAAATTAAATACTGCAAGGACTAAAAGCAATACACTAAAAAAATATTATCCATTTCAATATAAGTTGCGAAAATGTTTTATTAGGCTAGGACGGACAATATAAAATAGGTAAATATTAATTACTATTTGTTATGTTTCAATTAAATTTCTAAATTTTAATTTTTTCTTTCTTTCTGTGCAAATTTTTAATAACTCAAATTAATAATAAATAGGTGATTTTGGAGAGTGTAAAAGATTAAATTAAGGGGAAAATTCTTCAAAAACTCATGTAAATTCTTCCTCAAATTATTGCTCTAAATCTGCTCAACAAAATAAAATCAAAGCGAGTCGAAAATTTAGAGGCATTTTGTTAATTAAGAATTCATTTTATTTAACTAAATAAAAAGGGTGAATGCTCAAGAAAATATGGCTCACCAGAACAGCTTCATAAACTACTCCAAGTGAAGGACATACAACATTACACATAAAGCGTAAGCGCTTTTAGTATAATTTTAAATTATTAATAAGAAAATAATTATAAAAAGAGTGACATTTATAGTCTTGGCATTGTCTATTACTATCTAACTAATAGAACTCTAGATTATGAGCATGTTCCTATCTTTAAAAAAGTTGAATTTCATTCATTCTTAAACCCAGAATACAGCTAATTTAATACTTTGATTAGCTAAATGATTTAATTTAGACAAGAAGACAGAGTTAAACTACACTCTGTTGAAAACACTCTTTCCTATCTTATACAAAATAATAACTAAAACTCACTTAAATAAATCTACTAAAATGTTTCTAGCTGATAAAAATATAAAAAAATTAAAGGTTATTTTAATATACTCTAAAAAAACAAACTACTATATTAATAAATTAATTTAGCCAAATATTTTAATTAAAAAACTAAAAATTTAATTATTTAATTGCAACCAACATAAACAATTCATTTATTTCCTTTTAAAGTTATAATATTTGTACTTACATTTCTTGTTAGATATTTATTATTATTTTATATATATTAGTATTTAATCTTTCTTTACATTTTAATATTAGCTTTTTTAATCAATTCTTAAATAAGTTGAATATAAAAATAAAATTTTAAAATAAAAAATAATTCACTTTCTTCAAGTATTTTCTTAAAGTATGAACACAAATTCCATTTCAGTAAGAGCATAAAAAAAAAAATATTTAATTTCTTTAGTTATAAAAATTTTAAGCATTTTTAAATAAAGTTAAATTATTTGAATTATTTAAAAAAAAATATTTTAAGTTAATAAAATTAAATCAACTAATTTTGCATTTTCGTTAATTTTAATTTAATTAGTAACCTAATTAGTAAGTATATATAATATAACTATAAGATATTATAAAAGTATATGTAGAGAGTAGAGTCAATATTTTTTTAGCAATTTTTATTATAAAATTATCCATATTTTTATATTTATTGTAATTATTAAACTAATCAAGCCATTTAAAATAATATTTTTTTACTTTTAAAATATAAATAAACTAAAAAAGTAGTTAATTACAATATTTTAATTTTTATTATATTTATTTGAAAATAGTATTCTTAATTAAGAATTTTTATATTTTCAAAATTAAATTATTATATTGTTGTTCATAAAAATATTTTAAACTAAATAGAATTTATTATTTAACAGATTTTATCAATTTATGTTGAAAAATCATTAAGCAATTTATTATTAAAAAATTATTTTTATAAATTATTGAAATTAATAAGAAGATATTTAAATGAATATTGTACAAGTAAATTAAAGAAATAACAAATTAATTTATTAAAAAAAATATATTTTAGTTTTTAGAATATTTTTCTGGAATTGAAAGATATTTAGATAAACAATTATTTGTTTTTTAGGATTTATTTATCTGATGATAATAGAATAGAAAAGTGCTCTCACCTTTTTATTGACTTTTATATGATAAAAAATATTTAATTAAATTGATTATAATAAGAATTTAATAATATTGTTATCAAATAAATTAAAATTAGATAGGTAGGTAGGTCATTAGTAAAACAATTAAATATATATTTATAGCTAGAAAACAAAAAGACATTTTTATTTAGTATTTAGATTTTATTAAAGAATTATTTTGTCTTTTCACTTGATAAGTGTTCAATAGTGTGCGTTTTTATATTTGAGTAAAAGAAATGTTAAAAGACCTCTTTACCAGACTTCTAAATAGAATAGCTGGTGAATATATTGTTGGTTTGACTAAAGAAAATTTAAAATAATTTGGAATATTTTCTGGTGAAGTCAAAATTTAAAATGTTTCGCTCAACCCAAGTGTTATAGATATACTAAATCTTCCAATAAGCCATCAATTTTCTAGAATAGAGAAATTTGAGCTTAAAGCCCCTATATAAAGTATTGGATCTAAACCAGTAGAATTATTATTAGATGGCCTATATTTGGTTGTAACACCTAAAGAAAAAAAAGAATGGACTTTCTAAGATTACAATTCCCTTAGACTGAAGCTGTTGAATATTGAAACATTTACCATTGAATGTCTTTAAAAAATAGCAGCAAAGTAATAAGAATAAAGTAAATCAGGCGAAAAAGATGCTGGATATATGTAAAAGCTAACTATGAAAATAGTGGATAATTTATAAGTCACAATAAAAAATATTCATGTCAGATTCGAAGACACTATCACAAAAAGATATTCATGGGGTTTCTGCTTAGATAAAATAGAAACTTTTACAATAAATAAAGATGGGGAACAGACTTTCATAGATAGAACTGTTTAAGCAAATAAAAATGAGCCAACAAGAAAATTATTAATAATATCGAATGCTGGTATCTATTGGAATGCTCATGAAGAAAGGTTTATTTATGATTCTCCCAATCATCGAAGAGTTCAAATTATGAATGGGATGATCATGAAAGAAGGCTAACTATAAACTGAAGAACCAGTTGATTTCCTTTTAAAAATCTCATTTTAGGTCAGTTTAATCATGAACAACAAAGGAAATTTCGAAGTGCCCGAAATTTAAGTATTATTATTCATAAATATTTCTTATGAATCAATTTATTTCAAAATAAACAAATCAAAAAAAAAAATGATTATTAAATATAAGAATAAAATGTAATTGAATAATACAGAATAAGTAAAAATTATAGTAGAAAATGGTTTAAGACAATTGAAATAGTATATAAAATAGTAAGTTATTCAAAAAGAGAGACTAAGTTATAAGAAAATCGAATAGATAAAAAGAAAAATATTATAAAACAATAAATAAAATATAAAATCATTAAATAAATTAATATTGAAAAAAAAAAAGATTAAATTTTCAATAAAAAATATGGATAAAATATCTTTCTAAATATTTTTTTGAAGTAAAATAATAAAATGTAATTGAATAATACAGAATAAGTAAAAATTATAGTAGAAAATGGTTTAAGACAATTGAAATAGTATATAAAATAGTAAGTTATTCAAAGAGAGGCTAAGTTATAAGAAAATCGAATAGATAAAAAGAAAAATATTATAAAACAATAAATAAAATATAAAATCATTAAATAAATTAATATTGAAAAAAAAAAAGATAAAATTTTCAAAAAAAAAATTAATAAAATATCTTTCGAAATATTTTTTGAAGTGAAATAAAAAAAAATGTTTTTGATAAATGAAATAAATAGGATTTTTTTAAAATGAAAATTAAAAATTTTTTAATTGAATTATTAATTTATTAATTTGTTTGATATTTTAGGTTAAATTAAATCTTGATAGCATAGATCTCCATTTGCAACAAAGATAATTGCAACAGATTATTGAATAGCTTGAGTATGCTTTTGAGTATGCAAAAGAAATAGCAATTAGAAAGAAAAATAATAAAAATATAGATGCATAGGAAATTGAAAGATTATCAAATATATTTTCTACACATCACAATAAAATTATGTAATAAGATAAAGATAATCAAACAGTTTAATGCTTAAGTGAAGTTGAAAAAGCAGAATATGAAGATGCTGTTATCAAGTTAGACATTGAAATTCTACAAGAAAGGGCGAAAAAAATTATTTTTGAAATATAAAAAGCAATTAAAATAAAGGAGCTTGAAAATAAAAAGAAAGGGTAAAAATAAGGATTTATGAGTTATATTTTCAAAGCACCAAAAGACTTAATTACAGAAGATGAAAAGTAATTTAAATAATTTTATTCTTTTAAATAATAAAATTTACTTGTTTTAGATCTATCTTATGAATTACTAATTAATTTCAAATCATAAAATTGTGCTTTTCAAAAAATTAATATTTTATTTTGAAGAAATTAAATAAAGCAGTTTATTGATGAAAACTTTAGTGAAGAGGCTATTGACGCACCTAAGGTTATTAGACCTAAAGAATATGTTTATTGTACTGTAGACTTAACTTTGAAAGGAGCTTGCATTAAGCTTAGTAATGATCTAGGCTCTACAGTATAGTGCTTGTTATTTTAGCTTAACTATATCAATGGAAATTTTAAGTTGCGTGAAGAAAATAGCGAAGTAAAAGTCACTCTTAAAAGTTTGTAGTTGAAAATGATTGATGAATTTTTAGGAAGTAATACAGCAAAAACTTTAAATATCTTAAATCCTACTATTGAAAAGAGTACTTATCCTTTGATCGAGTGTACTTTCATCTCCAACCCATTAGATGCTCCTCACATTGATAAAGTTATTGACATAAAAATTAGATCAGTCAGATTTAATTACGATTCTCACCTAGTCCTTCGACTCACTTAGTTTTTTGATATTTAATTTAAAGATGAGCAATTTAAATAATCTGCTTAGGAATAAATTTCTGATTAAATTCATAAGGAGCAATTCTCTTTGTAGGAAAGAATGAAGAATGATACAGTTCTTAAATTTAATTTAGATTTAGATTCACCTGTTATTGTCATTCCACTTAAACAAAATGGAATGATATCCAATTAAGCATGGGTTATAAATTTAGGTAATCTAAAAGTAAATACGATTTAAGATGTTCTCAAACCAAATCTACCATTTGAGATAAAGGCATTAGATATGTACAACATTTAACTATCTAAAACGAAGCTGACTTTTTTTGAATCAATAGAGCTGTATAATAACTATATAAATTCAAGTAAATCCTAATAAATATAAGATCACTTTTCTGAGAATTCATAATTCTATAATACCGTTGATGATTTCTCTATTAATTTAAGTGCTACTCTTGTCAAACAACCTGCACAAGGAAAAATACAAAAAGTATTATTTTTAATTCAATAATTTGCTATTTTATTTAGCATTTATATAAATAAATAGGCAAATATCTTAATTGAAGGAGGCATAGATAAGATAAATCTTAGAATGAATCCAAGTGTTTATGAGAAATTATTGAGTATTGGTGATTGTTTTGAAATACCAATCGATGAACTAAAGTTGCCTAGAAAGCAAACACTAGAATAAGTAGAACAAAAGAAAAATGTTTTATTAAGTAGATCTATTAAAAGTGGTATCATATTTAAAAGAGGCAAGACACTAAAAAATTGGGTAAGGTATACTGGTGTTTTATCAGGTGGTTACATTTATTTATTCTCAAATTCCTATGATCTTAAAGCGTAAGAAGTAATATGGGTCAAGAACTCTATAATAACAAGAGTTGATGAGAGTATTGTTGGCTTTAAGAATGCATTTAGCGTTAAAAATAAATACACCGATATTTATTTTGCCTGTGAAAAAGAAAACGCTACCAACTCATGGATAGAAAATATTGAAAAAATAAGAACTTAAATTACAAAAAATGTAATTACTGAGAAAGATTTGGAGTAATTTGGAAATAATTAAAAGCTTAGCTCAAATGAACTAGAAAAGCAGCAAAAAAATAATTTAGACTAAATCTTGATTGAATCCCATTTTTAGATTGGAAACATTTAGTTATCATTATTCGATGAGACTAAGTATTCAGAAAAACCATTTTTAGTTCTAAAAACACAGAAGCTAGCTTTAGATTATTTCGAGAGAAAACAAAAGACAAATGTTGGCCTTGCTTTAGGTGGACTATTTTTATCTGACTATCTCTATTCTTACAAAGATAACAATTTAAATGATTTTATAACCAGTTCATTAGAATCAGATCAAAACTAAAATGATCTTATTTAAGTTAGCCTAATAATGCTTGATAAAGGGCATCCTGAATATCAAAATGTAGACTTGAATATTGACTTAAAGTTCAATAATCTTACTCTTAATTACAAACCAGATACTCTTGCTAAAATACTCACATTTTTCTAGGCAGAATCTAATATTGGTAAATTTATTTATTTATTTAAAACAATTAATTAAATCATTTATTTATTTAAAATTTATTTAAAAAAGATTTCTCAAATAAAGAAAGTATAAGTGGTAATTTAAGTGAAACTATGGCTTCTGGAAAAATAAGCTCACTGAATTCAAATAATACTAAAAATTAAGGGTCTAAGCAGTAAGAATCACCAAAATTTAAAAATTCAGATTCTCCATCCTCTAAAAGTTAAGATTTATAAGATTGCTCAACAATTCTGTTGCAAGCGAATGTTTAAATAAACTAGATAAAGATTGTTTTAATTAACTTCAAAAACAGACTTCCCATCAATGACTTACAGATAAATAATATTAACATTGAAACTAAGCTAAGATCTGATGAAATAGCCATAAAAAGCTCCTTAGGCAATTTAAGAGTAAGAGACTCAACAAATTATCCGAACACGATCTATTCTGAAGAAGATTGGAAAAATATTCAATATTAAGAAATTCTAGGAATACTAAATAAAAATGTAAATTAATTTTTTTAAAGAGTTTTTGCAATTAAAAAAACAAACAAATTTTTAATAATTTTTTTTCCTCATTTAATTTTTGAACTTTTCTTTCTTTCTTTTTTTATTTATTTGCATTTGAAATTAATATGAATAAAATAATTATTTATGAACTTTTTATTTTAGAACTCATCTAACTTATTGGAAGTTGATTTTAGAATGCTATTTGAAGGATCTAGTAAGATATAATCTGACAATGTTGATACTTTTGTCAATTTAGTTTTTAATTCTATTCATCTTAACTATATTTAAGCACCTGTTTTGAGGTTTATTGATTATATCTTACAGTAGTTTTTGGAATGTTTGGAAAATCCAAATTCTTTTATTCATGAATCAGAAATAGTTGAAAAGTATAAAATCTCCTTTTTTAAGGATTTAGATAAAGCTTAGGATCCTGTCCTTTGTTTAGATAAAATAGGAGGGAAAAAAATAGCAGAATTATTAGAGAAACCATTACTTTTTAAGCTAGATATTTTGATCAAGAATCCATTAATAACTCTTAAACCAAATCCTTAATCTGGTGAGTATTTACAAGCAGACTTAGGTGTAATCAAAGTTACAAATAAGGTAGTTAAGGATTCTAGCAGATTATTGGAATGTAAGATAAAAAATGAAATAAAAGAAACATATAGCGATATTTATGAAGTAAATGCTGAGAATATGCTAATTAGAGTAATTAAAGGAGACTAAGTTACAGAAATAACTCAAAAATTTAACTTGAATGTTAGTGTTAATCTTGCTAACTATTTTTATTAATATAAATACATTTATGGAAATGATATTAAAATAGATACAACTATTAAAGTTTACAACCATATCAGTCCTATTATTTTTAGAATTTCTAATGAAAACTATAATTTGATAATGAAGTGTGTCATGCATAACATAGCTTATGATGATGGCTGTGATAGATTCTTAGTAAATGACTGGGAAAGGAATTAAAAGCCTTAAGCAGTATTAGAGAAGATGATTAAAAAGTAAGAAGACAGCAAACTTAAAAGAACTATGAATTTAGCATACTAGTATTTTGATAAAGATGGAGTTTTTGTTCAAGTAGATCTAGAAAATCTATCTGTATTTGCCCTTGATCAAGAAAATAACCTTCCTTTTGTCAAATTCACTGTGGAAGGCATGAGGGTAATTTAAATAATAGATGAAAACATTGATAAGGAAGATATTTATGATAAAACCTTAAAAACTAAAATTTATGCTAAAAAATTGAATGCTTCCTGCTTTAGCTTGATAAATGGAGAATATGTAGAGAGTAGTTTGCTTGGTGAAGAAATAGTCTAAAAAACGTACAGCTTAGAAGAATTATAAGATATAAACGTTTTAATTAATAATGAAAATTAGTATAATGTTCAATCAGAATATTAAATTAATAGACAATCATAAATATAATTTGAATTTGAGTTACTGCCTAATGATGACAAGGAAATGGAAATCAGTATTCAGAATTGTAAGGTGTAAGCTAAAGTTAGACATCTTCTTGCGATTGCGGATTTCTTTGATTTAGATGCTAGTGTTGATGCTCCTGAACCAGTTTTTAAAGTAGAATTAACTTAAGAATAGATTTAGGAAAAGTAAAAAGCTGAATAGTAAATTAAATAATACAATAAAGAAATGAGATAAGGCGTTTAAACAAAATTGAAAATAAACATTCAAAATTTTATAATTTGTACACCTTGCCCAGATGAAGTGAATGTTATAGCTATCAGATGCGAATTAGATTTCAATTTGAAAATGTAAGAATTAGGAGCTAAGCAAACAGAAAAATCATAATACTATTAATAAATGAGTAATTAAAAAAATATTGCATAGTAAATAAATGAAACAATTAATATGTCAGCCAACTTGAAAAAATTAGAAATTTTCATTTGCAACCAAGAAGAACTGAAAACAAAAGATTTTAAGAAAGTCTTAAAAAGGAATATACTTCTTCCACTGGATTTAAATTTCAAAAAAATAGAGTATTTACTTCCTTAAGAAAATAATCTCTTTTCAAATAAGACAAGCATAGAAACTTAGCTTTTAAAAGCAGTTTTAAAAATAACATTCTAAGATCTCACATTAGTCAATCAAACTATAGTAATTATATAAGAAGATATCAAAAACTAACCTGAAAGGTTAAGCAGAAAAGTAGAAATTCCTCTGCAAGAAAAAGATAAAATCTAAAGTGAAGATGAGTTAAATGTAAACTAATAAACAAGACCTACAACACTTATACCTAAACTTACTGAGGAACAAAAAATAAAATAAGAATTAGAGTAAGTTGAGTCAAAATTAATTTAAATAGCTCAACATTAGGTATAGGTCAATGAAGTGGATTTATTTATTGATATTTAAGGCCTAGAAATAATTATTATAAATGACTTGAATTCTTCCTATGTTCCTGTATTAGATTTGAACCTCTATGAAATGAATGTCAAATTTAACCAAAACAATATCTAAGCTAAAGTAATTATTAATTTTTTACATTTAAAAATGAATTTAAAACTTAAAAAAATTTATTTTCTAATAATAAGCTTACTTCTAGTTTTGAATTAGGTGCTGAATATTATAATGCTAAAGTAGGTTTATGGGAGCCTATAATAGAAAAAGTAGGCTTTACTGTTGATTTTATTAAAAGCGAAGTAAGCAATGTGAAATAGCTAATTACAATTGAGATGAATCCAAATTACAGAACGCTTAACTTAACTGTATCCACTTAATTCTTATATCTCCTCTCAAGAATCAATTACACAATTAGAAAGGAAATCATCCCTGCTGTTAGGAAAACAAGAGAATCATATATTTGGAGTACTAATTTTTCGTCATTGCAACACTCTGAGGTGCAAAAGGAAGAAACTTCAGATGAAGAAAATTTGCAAGAGATATCCCCATATGCTGTTAGAAATGAAACAGGATATCCTATTGAAATAATCACAGACTTAAATAACATTTAAAATTCTTAAAACATTCCCTTAGTATCCGAGTAAAAAATCTATAAATGTTATTTAAATAACTTCCAAGAAAAAAACTTTAAAGTTGATATGATGGAGTCCAAAATAGTATTTATTTATTTATTTATTTATTTTCTTTTTATAAAATAAAATATATTTATTTATTGATGGTAATAAATTAAATAGGTAAATGACAAAAAAGAAACATTTGTTTTCAAAAAAAGTAGTGAATAGGTTAAAGTTAAAGTATTAGTTCCTAATAAGAATTTGAAATATATTTAGCAAATAGACTTAGACAAAGTGCGTAGTAGCTTAAGGGTCTGCAAAAATGAAAATAACATAAAATTATATTATGTTATAACTGAAGTCAAGCTTGATAATTTTACTTTTAAAAAGGTTCTAAACATTTCTTCTCCTTATTAGTTCTTTAATGGATGTAACTATGTTCTATAACTCACTATTTTTGATGAAAATCAGATTCAAAAGCAGGTATTTATTTATTTAATTTATTCTCACTTGAATTGAATTTTTACTGTAAATAATTTCTTAACAATCACTTAATTAAGTGAATACTTTATCCAAAGTAGATTAATCCCATTTATAAATTAATATTTGTTAGTTAAGATTATAAATATTAAGCTAATCATTCAAAGTAGATTGATTGATTCCATTTTTAAAAGATAATTATGATAATAAGATTATTTATTTTTAAATTACTAACTCTAAATAAAATATTTTTGTCTTATTTTTTTATAAATAATATTTTGCATTTAAAATAAAAGGTGTTCAATATTAAGAAAAATCAGAAATTCCCTATTCCTATAGATCTTCTAAATGGATTTTTTAGTGTTACTTTAGAAAAAAGTGAATATAAATCAAAAATTTACAATTATAACGTACTTAGAAATAGTATGCTTAATTAAGCGCAAGAAATTTAGCTATCAGATAAATTTTTAATACTTAGAGTAAATCAAGACATTTAAAATTAGAAGTGTACAATATTTTCTTTGGAACCTCCTTACAAAATTAAAAACTGCTTACCAAAACCTATACTTTTCTAATTTATTAACAACAAGTAAGATATTCTTAATTTATTCTAGCTAAACACAAAACTATTTTAATACAAACAAACATTTTGCTTAGTTTTATTTTTAAAAATATATTTTTTATTGAAACAATTCATTCATTTTACTAAAAGCTATTTATTTATATTTTATTTTATTTTTTATGAATAAAGTTCGTCAGAAAACAAGGTAGCAAGATCGAAAAGACAAACAGATTCTTCCAAAAATATGAATAGCGGATAAGTTTATGAATTTTATAACTGTTCTTAAAATATAGAATCAGTTATCAGTTTGCAGATTCCTAACCATTTCTATAGTAATGAGGCTAAAATGATTGGTAATTAAATTGAAAGAGTAGCCATTAAAGATTTTAATGGAAATCAAAGTGAAATATCTATTCATCAAAAAGAATAAACTGTTTAAGGATGTAAGTATCTATACATATACTGCAAAGGTTATCTAATAAATGAAAGTCCTTAAAAATTAAACATTTACACATCAATTTAGAAAAAAAAATCAGAATGCAGGATTGTTGGAGGTTAAAATCAGATTTATGAGGAAGAATCTTTAAATACTAACTTTATTTTATTCGGCAACGACACTGGGGAATAATTAAGTATCTAAGACTATAAATATGATAAAATTTCTTAACCAGTTAGTATAGGAGGTGTGGGAACAACTTAGTTAGACTTATACACATTAAATGATTTCTTGATACCTATTTATTAGACAGTAGGAGTTAATGTTTCCATTAAAAACGTAGATTATGATTAAAAGCTGTTTTCAAAAGTGATTACTATTTCTCCTAGGTAAGCTTTTATTTATTAAATTATTTAAAACATTTTTAAATGTATTTTATTGGTTAAATGTATTTTGTAATAGGTTTATATTAGTTAATAAGACAGGACATTAGATTTATATTAAGTAGAAAGGGTATGATGATAAAGTTACAGCAATAGAAAAAGATACCAGAATTCCTTTGTTTTGGTATGATTAAAGTGAGAGCAGATTTTTATCAATTAAGTTATAAGAAGAAGCAAATGAGTGGAATTGGAGTGGAAATTTAAATGTTCAAGAGCTCGGAACTGTGAACTTTATGGTAAGAAGTACTTAAGATAAATTAAATGTAGTTTTCTTAAGGACTGATGTGCGATCTGATGATTCAAATATTTACATAGTAATTGAAAAAGTCAGCGATAAAGAAAAACCTTATTTGATATAAAATCTTACTTCTAGTGTTACTATAAATTTGTATGATTTTAATGTATCTCTCTTGCCATTATCTGAAAATTATGACTCTGCATAGCTTGATTAGTAATACCATTTTTCATGGGAACATCCATTTGATAGAGAAAAGAAACTTTATTTATAATTGATACCAAAATAAAAAAACTATCAGCTTCTCAATTATAACTTATCACCTGACTAAATTTATCTTCGAGATAAATTATAATTATCTCCTTAAGGATTAAATAAAAATTAGGTAAATGACTTATTTATAATTAAATGACAAATTTATAAGTAAAATTTTTAATTTATTTAGTTTTAGAATATTTACATTAAATTGTCAATTGAGATTGACGGTTTTACAAGAATTATTAAATTCGAAGACTCGTATAAAGATGAACCTGTTACATAGTAAGAAAAGGAAGAGCTAAGACAAAAGATAGAAAAATAAATAGAGTAAAAGCATTTTCCATAAAATTTGGGACAACCAAAAAAACTTAGCCTCAAGGAAAGTTAACAAAAAAATTAAGAAGAATCAAATTCTCTATTAAAAAATAAAATTGAATAGTAGATAAGTGTTTATATAAAATAGATTGGTATTTCAGTAGTTTAAAATCATAGAATAAATGAGAAGCCAAAAGAGATAATCTATGTAACAATAAAAGGAGTTGAGTTTATTACTATAAAAAAATAAGAATTAATGACGAATCAGCTTAGAGTAAAACTCTTGAATATTGACCAAAATAACAGTTACAACATTTCTAATCCTGTAATTTTAACTCCAAATAAATATTCTCAGTACAATAAAGATAAAACCAACAATTTTTTCATAAACATCATGGTAGAATAAAACTTAGTAGCTAAAAACCTTACTCTCTTTAATAACCTAGTTTTAGAAATTGATCCTTTCACAATTAGAATAGAAGATTAATTAGTTAATGTTGTATAGGATTTTATAAATACCGTAGAAGAAGTCTAATATACTGTAGAAAGTTCTCATTTGAGTTCAATTAAAAATCAAATCGATGAGTCTGCAAGCTTAAAAAAAAATCAAAACAAAGTAAAATTTTTCTTGACAAAAATTTTTTTATTTTTATGAAAACACTTGATTTAGTTTTGTGCGAAAAAAAAAATATTTTTATATAAATTTGGTTTTGATTTAAAAAATTTTATTTTCATTTAGTCACAAATAAATCCTGCGAACTTTAAAAATTACTTGACTTAAATAAATTTATTATTCAAATAATTTATTTTTATATTTAAATCATAATAAAAAGCATAGAATATTTTAAAGATATTTAATAAAAAATCAATCTAACTTTTAAATAAACAATCTAAAAATCTAACAAAAAAAACAGCAAAACAACAAAAAAACAAACAAATACATGAAAATTATTGAAAAATATTTATTTAAAAAAAAAATGATTTATTAAATTTTAAAATGATAAAAAACTGAATAAATATTCAATAAAAAGTCAATCTAAGAAACAAAAAATCTAATAATCTAACAAAAGACAAGCAAACTAATACATGAAAATTATTCAAAAAATGTTTATTTTTATTAAAAAAATCATTAATTAAATTTTAAAATGATAAAAAACAAACTGAATAAATATTTAATAAAAAATAAATCTAAAAAACAAAAAATCTAATAATCTAACAAAAGACAAGCAATACATGAAAATTATTCAAAAAATGTTTATTTTTATTAAAAAAATGATTAATTAAATTTTAAAATGATAAAAAACAAACTGAATAAATATTTAATAAAAAATATAGAATAAAAAATTCAAATGGTAAGAATGTGAAATTCCTCCAAGTAGTATTCCTACGTTTATAAATCAGCTAATCCTATCTAATATTGAAGCTAATCTTATAATCAAAGGTAATTTTAAAACAAGCACACAGAGCTCAAACTTTTTTAAGCAAATATTTTCTGCACTTGGTGTTGTTTTAGCTGACATAGAATCACCTATTAAGTTAAATGGAATAAAACTTATTAACTGCTTTGAAACACCCTCTGGCATCACTAGTAAATTAACAGATCACTATAAAACTTAAGCTATTAGAGAAGTTCTAAAGGCATGTGGATCATTCAATATTATTGGTAATCCAGTTGGACTCTTCTAAAATATTTCCACAGGTGTAATTGATCTTATTTAAAAACCTGCTGAAGGTTTTGTCAAAGGACCTCTTGAAGGCGGATTAGGTATTATGGAAGGAGCTTCTTCTTTAATCAAAAATACTATGGCGGGAGCTTTTAATTCAGTTAATAAGATAACTGGGTCTTTATCTAGTGGAGTGTCTGCTTTATGCATGGTACTTACTTACTTTTTAAAAATAAAAATTATAAGCATGATTTATTTTTTAAATTGATAACAAACAATATTTTATTTAGGACGAAGAATACTTACAAGAAAGAGAGAGAAAGAATTAAATTAAACCAAAAAATGTTTTAGATGGAGCCACATAAGGAATCACTTCCATAGTATCAGGTGTTACTAAAGGAATCACAGGCGTTTTGGTAAATCCTTTTGAAGGAGCTAAAAAGGGAGGAGCTTTTGGTTTGCTAAAAGGAGTTGGTTTAGGAATTGCTGGGCTTATTACTAAACCTGTTTCTGGAGTTTTAGACGCCGCTTCTTCCGTAACAGGTGGAATAAAAAATAATATAATGCTAGGAGATGAAAAAGCTAATGAAGTTAGACTTAGAAATCCTAGAGTTTTCTATGGAAGAGAAGGATTTTACAAAGAATTCATTGAAATTGATGCTGCAATGAAAGCGATTCTCCACACTACTTCTAAAGGAAAATATTAAAATGTTGACTATTTATAAGCTTATTTGATTGATGGGGATGGAGAAAACTAGAAAAATAATGTAGTCTTAGTAATAAGTTATGAAATTATTTTACTTTTTGATGCATCAAGAAAAAAGAAATGGTATTTTGAGACTAGTGGATTTTGTAGAGTAGAACTCAAATAAAATGGAATTTAACTTTATTGTTAAAATGAAATTTAAAAACTAAAAGTAAGTTTTTATCAAATTTTTATATAATTTTCTTAAGTAAATTTTAAAAAATATAGAATAAAAGTGCATTCGTTGCCATTAAAAAAGATGATCAGAAGGAATATATTTTCAATTAGATTAACACTCTTAAATTCTAATTAGAAGAAGAAAAAAAAATTAGTCAGCTAGATAATTGATTAAATCAATAAATAAATAAATACACTTATTCAATTAAAAGTAAAATAATAATTGAAAAAAAGCTTAGAATTATATTAATTTAGCATTCACTCAAATAAAATAAATAACTTTTATTGGTTGGTATCTATTTAATTTGTAATTAAATTATCAAAAAGTAAATAATTTCTAAATCATAAATTGCTTATTTAACTAATATCTTTTAAAAGTTAAGGGGTTAATTTATTCAAATATTTAGTCTTATAAAATATAAAAAAATTAATAATTACAATAAATTTTTGAAATTAAGCTTTAAAATAATAAACCAAATTACTTAGAAATTTACTTTAGCTTGAAGATATAATTAAAAAAATTACATTTCTATTTTTTATGATTAGTTATGATATATAATTTTTATCAAATGTTTTAATCTGCCATTTCAGGCTAAAGGTAAATAACTTTATTTTTTTAATCTGTCATTTCAGGCTAAATGTAAATAACTTTCTCGTTTTAATCTACCATTTATGGAAATTAAAAGTTCATTTCTGGATTAGTAAAATCTATGGTTTAAGTGCTTTAATCAGCTGTTTAAACTGTTTAAGTGTATTTATTAGCACTTTTAGAGCTTTTTTCTGCTCTATTAGGATTTTTTTTTGTTTGGTTATTTTGTTTTTTATGCTACTCATCATTATGTTATTATTTTTATTCTGCTTCTTTTTATTCTCTATGTTCCTTAAGTAATTATTCCTTTTATTATTACTTACTGTTATCTTATTAAGTATTATTCTATTCCATGCATTCTTTACATATACAGATACAACAACAGCAAAGTATTTCAGCTATTATTTATCCACAAGCATTATTATTATCATGATGGTGATGCCTTGAGCTCATTTATATTATTTTTAAATATGTTTGTTTATTTGTTTATATTTAATTTTTCTTAGATTTTATATTATTTATTATCATTAAATTATTAATTATAATGTTAAAGATATTTGATATTTAAATACATCTTCATTAAATTAAAAACATTTAAGGATAAGCTCTTATTAATTAATTAATTAAGAATATTCCCCGATCAGTTTATCTAATTATTTTGTTTATCCTATTATTTTTTCAATTAATTAAGACTATTCCCCGATCAGTTTATCTAATAATTTTGTTTATCCAATTATTTTATCAATCTAAATATTTTGTCTATATTATTTATTTAATATTTATTAATTTATGATTTTAATATTGCAATTTATCTTCTTCTATTTCATTTCTCTAAAGCGAAATAGAAAAATTAATATTTGGAAATATTAGATAATGACAAATCAAATTAAATCAGAACTCTTATTAAATATTATATTACCTGATAAGGGAATAGAAATTATCAGAGTTATTTAAAGAAAATTATATTTATCAAATTATATAAGTATGTATATTAAACAAAACTTAAAATAAGTAAGGGCTTATGAGCTGACTAAATCTGAAGTTTAAAGACAAAATATGATACCCTTATTGAATTAAATAATAGAAAAAAATAATAAAAACATTACAATATATGATATTTTCATTTTAATACTCTTCTTATATAATGTAAAAAAAGGTGGTTCCACACCTGAACTTTACCCTATATTTCTATATTTTGAATTAAAAAAAGATATAAAATTTTAAAAATCATTTTTTTTTCTTCTATTTTATATTACAGATTTGGCGGTAATATATATTTATTTTTTCATTTATTTAATAAACTATTTATTTACTTATTAACTTACCAAAATAAATAAAAAAATACGATATTCATATAAATATAAATATTAATAAATATTTCTATCTATATATATTTTAGGTTAAATTATCATATTAAAAAATATTATATAATAAAACAAATAGTATTTTCTATTATTAAAATATTTAATTTTTATTCATCCTCTTTTCACCACTTGTTATTATCAACAGAATTTAATATTAAATAATACTAATCTTTTAAATTTTCGGCATTTGTTTTTCAATTATGATTATTAGATTAAGCTGAAAGTTCCTTAACTAAATAATTAACTAAAAAAAAATTAAATAGAATAAAATTTTTTAAAAAAATAAAATTTAAAATTAATAAAAATAAAAAAAGCATTAGTAAGTTAAAAAAGAAAAATAAATCAAATAAAAAAAATATCAAATAAATTAAAAGAGTTTTTATTTTTTTAAATTCATTTTTATATTAAAAAATATCACAATCCAAAACAAATAAACTGTTTTTACCTAAGATCAAGTGTAAAATTTGAGAGATTAGCGCATTTTGCTAAAGCAGAACCTAAACTTAATGCACCTTATTAGCTAATAGAATTATTACTTTTTAAATATTGAAGAAAAAATATATAAATAATTAGTTAGTTAGAAGGGAGAAATGAAGAAAAATTATGTTGAAAATAAAATAAAAAACAAAGCAAAAGAGCAAAATAAAAGAATTATATTATTTTATATTCTTTTTTATATTAAAAATAAATATCACAATCCAAAACAAATAAACTGTTTTTACCTAAGATTAAGTTTCAAATTTGAGAGATTAGTACAATTTGCTAAAGTAGAACCTAAACCTAATGCATCTTCATCACAAATATTATTGAAGCTTTTTAAATATTGAAAAATAATATATTATTATTTAATTATTTAGAAGGAAAAATGAAGAAATAAAAATAAATAGAAATGAATTAATTAGTTAAAAATAATAAATTCAAAATTTGAAAATAAAAAAATGAGCTATATAAAGAAAGATAGAAGAAGAAAAAACCATAAGTACTATAAAAAGAAAAATAAAACTAATGAAAAGCTAATAAATATGGCAATCCAAAACAAATAAACTGCTTTTACCTAAGATTAAGTGTCAAATTTGAGAGATTAATGAAATTTGCTAAAAAAGAATATAAGTATGATGCTTCTTATTTATCTTATTTGCTTATTTATATCTAACTTTTTAAATATTGAAGAAAAATAAAAAATTAATTAGTATTAAGAAGAGAAAAATAAAGATAAAATATGAAATAATAAGAAATTAACTCATTAATAATATTCAAAAACAAAATTTGAAAAAAAATGAGTAAATTAAGAAAGATAGAAAGAAAAAAAATGTAAAATAAAAACTCAATAGAAAAATAAAATCAAATAAAAAGCTAATAAATTTAAATAGTAATATTGTTTTATATTAAAAAATATCATAATACAAATAAACTGTTTTTACCAAAGATTAAGTGTTAAATTTGAGAAATTAGTACAATTTAATAAAACAAAACCTAAGTTTGATTCACCTTATTTTCTTATTTAATTCTAACTTTTTAAAAATTGAAAAAAAAATATATTTAATTAGTTATTATGAAGGGAAAAATATGAATCAATAAGAAATTAATTAATTAATAATATTAAAACCAGAATTTGAAAATAAAAAAATTATTAAATTAAGTAAGATAAATAATTAAAATAAAAAAGTAATAGAAAAATAATAAAAAGCTCATAAACAAATTAAAAAAGTTAATTATATTGTTTTAAATTCATTTTAATATCTAAAAATATCACAATCCAAAACAAATACTGTTTTTACCTAAGATCAAGTCTCAAATTTGAGAGAGTAGTGCAATTTGCTAAAATAGAACATAAGTCTGATGGACTTTATTTGCTTATTTAATTCTCACTTTTTAAATAATGAAAAAATATATAATTAATTAGTTATTATGAAGAGAAAAATGAAGAAACAATATGAAATAATAAGAAATTAATTAAAAGCCAAATTTAAAAATAAAAAAATGAGTAAATTAGAAAGGCAGACAGATGAAAAAAAATAATTAAAATAAAAATGTAATAGAAAAATAAATCAAAATAAAAAGCTTCTTAACAAATTAAAATAGTTAATTTTATTGTTTTAATTCATTTTTATAACTAAAAATATCTCAATCGAAAATAAATAAATAAACAAACTGCTTTTACCAAAGATCAAGTGTCAAATTTGAGAGATTATTATAATTTGCTAAAATAGAACATAAGTCTGATGCACCTTCTCCTATTTAACTTTAACTTTTTAAATATTGAAGAAAAAATATATCATATACTTTATAATATCATCATCCCCCTATCCTCAAAATTTATAAAAAATTAAACTAATAATTTTTAATTAAAGATCTCATCTTATTTTAATGAATGATTTACATTAAAAAGAAGACAACTTAGGCTATATGAATATACATACATATATTAATTTCATAGCCCTTCACATTGAAGTTATATTTGATTGGGGTATGATGTTAATTAGAAGTAAAAAATGAAGATAAAAAATTAATGAAATAATAAGAAATGAATTAATTAATAATAATAAAGTAAAAACTAAAAATAAAAAAACTTATATTAAGAAATATAGAAGAAGCAAAAAAACATAAGTACAATAAAAGAGAAAAAGAAAAATAAATCAAATAAAAGCTAATAAACAAATTAAAAGAGTAATATTGTTGAAAATTTATTTATTTTTATATTAAAAAATATCACAATCCAAAACAAATAAACTGTTTTTACCGAAGGCAAAGTGTCAAATTTGAGAGATTAGCACAATTTGCTAAAGCAATACATAAGTTTGATGAACCTTTTTTGCTTATTTAATTCTAACTTTTTAAATTATGAAAGAAAATATAAAATTAATTAGTGGCTAAGAAAGAAAGGAAAAATGAAGAAAAAATATAAAATAATAAGAAAGAAATAAATAAATTAATAATATTAAAATCAAAATTTAAAAATGAAAAATGGGTTAAATTAAGAACTAGAAAAAAAAAACACAAAATAAATTAAGTACAATAAAAAATAAATTTGAAAAATAAATCAAATAAAAAGCTTTGAATAAAATTAAAATGGTTATTTTATTTTATATTAAAATATATCACAATTCAAAATAGATAAACTGCTTTTACTTAAGATTAAGCGTCAAACTTGAGAGATTAGTGCAATTTCCTAAAGCACAACCTAATTTTGATGCACTTATTTCATTTATTTTATTATTACTTTTTAAATGATGAAAAAAAAAAAATCTTATTAATTAGTTTTTAAGAAGGGAAAAATGAAGAAAAAATATAAAATAATAATAAATGAATAAATGAATTAAAAACAAAATTTGAAAATAAAAAATGAGTTAAATTAAGAAAGATATAAGAAAAAAAACACATGGGTAAGTACAATAAAAAATAAATTTTAAAAATAAATCAATCAAATAAAAAGTTATTTAATAAATTAAAATAGTTATTTTATTTTATATTCATTTATATTTAAAAACACAGTTCAAAACAAATAAACTGTTTTTACCTAAGATCAAGTGTCAAATTTGAGAGATTAGTGCATTTTGCCAAACTAGAGCCTAAGCTTGATACACCTTTTTTGTTTATTTTATTCTGACTTTTTAAATATTGAATAAAAAAATTAAATAAATAATTAATTAATTCGTTATTAAGAAGGGAAAAATGAAGAAAAAATATGAAATAATAAGAAATAAATTTTAAAAATATCAAAGCTAAATTTGAAAATAAAAAAATGAGTTAAATTAAGAAAGATATGAGAAGAAAAAACATAAACATATACAATAAAAAGAAAAATAAATCGAATAAAAAGCTAATAAATAACTTAAAAGAGCTACATTATTTTAAATTCATTTTAGTAACTAAAAATATCACAATCCAAAACAAATAAACTGTTTTTACCTAAGATTAAGTGTCAAATTTGAGAGTTTATTGCAATTTGCTAAAGCAAAGCCTAAGCTTGATACACCTTATTCGCCTATATTATTCTAACTTTTATATATTGAAGAAAAAATATAATAATTAATTTGTTATTAAGATAGGAAGAATGAATCTAAAATATGAAACAATGAGAAATAAATTAATTAATAACAATCAAATCAAATATTTAAAAAAGAAATGAGTTAAATTAAGAAAAAAGATAGAAGAAGAAAAATAAATAAATAAAAAGGAAAGAAAAATAAATCAAATAAAAAGCTAATAAACAAATTAAAAAAGTTAGTTATATTGTTTCAAATTCATTTCTATAATAAAAAATATCACAATCCAAAGCAAATAAACTGTTTTTACTAAAGATCAAGTGTCAAATTTAAGAGATTAGTGCAATTTGCTAAAGCAGGACCTAATCTTGATGCACCAATTGAATCAATTGTATTGGGGCTTTTGAAATATTGATGATAAGATAAATTATTATTTAGTTATTTAAAAGCAAAAAAAAATGAAATAATAAGAAATGAATGAATTAATTAATAATAATAAAAGATTAAGTTAAAAATAAAAAATAAATGACTTTAATTAAGAATAATTAAGAAAGATAAAAATAAAGAAAAAACACAAGTACAATAAAAGGAAAAGCAAAGTAAATCAAATAAAAGCTAATAAACAAATTAAAAGAGTATTGAATTGAAACAATAAAACTATTTTTACGAAAAACTAAGTTTCAAATTTGAGAGATTAGTGCAATTTGCTAATGCAGAACCTAAGCTTGATACACTAATTGCATCAATTTTTTTAAAGCTTTTTAAATATTTAAGAAAAAATATATTATAATTTAGTTATTTAGAAGGAAAAATAAAGAAAATAATAAGAAATTAATTAATTAATAATAATAAAAGCATAATTTGAAAATAAAAAATGATATAAATTAAGAGAGAAAAAAATATAAGTAAGTAAGTAAGCACTAAAAAAAAGAAATAGAAAAATAAATCAAATTAAAATCTAATAAAAAAATTAAAAGTGCTGGTTATATTGTTTGTTTTAAAAATTAATGGAAAAAAGTGAGAATTTATGTTAAAAAATAATAAAATTAATAAATAACTTAAAATTTAAATATATCAAAAATGAATTATGATAATATTTATAAATTAAATAAATAAATATACTTATGAAAGATATGGACAACCTAATGAGATTAGTGTTAAGAGTTTAAAAACTTTTTATATTAAAATGAATAAATTTAAACTATATTGATAAAAAAATAAATAATTACTTCCTCTAATGTGTAGTCTATCATGATTTCTTTCTTTTTTTTCTTCAAAAATATTAAATACAAATTATTGAAAATTTAATTAATTATAAGTGGATAAAAAGAACAAATTAAATATTTGAATTTATAAATTTGCTTTCACAAAAAAGTAAGTACGTAGGTAAGTTAGTTAGTGTAACTTTCATTACTTAATCTTAATATTTCTTATAAGGATCTTCAAATTCATATATAGGCCGCTATTTCATATAACTCTAAATCAAATCTCTATATTATACATTCAAAAACAAACTGTTAATGGTGTGAAGTTTATAAATGTAATTTAAAAACCCTTGATAAAAAAAGCTTTTAATAAAAATAAATGGTAGGTACTTAATAAAGATGGGACTCGCTCTCATACTTCTAAAGCCAAACTTTAATCAGAGCTAGTGTTCCATATAATTTGCATTACACTTTTTTAGGATTTGTAACCTCTAATCGAATTCTAGTTTATATAATAATAAAAGAGTAGTGTAATCAATATATTTTCTTAGGTTTTTTATCTAAAATTGCTTACAGATATTTTAATTTACTGTATGTCACTTAAGGTTGATTTTGAAAATATGTCATACAACCCATTTTCTTATATATTTTCATATAAAAACTAAAAGTTAAATGCATAATAAAACAAAAATAAAACCAATAAAATATAGTTAAAGAATATTTAAGGCTAAAATAAAAAAAATAATTTTATTTAATAAATCTATCTTTCTAATTTATTGATAGTTTACTTTATCTTTGGAAATTCTATCTTTTTAAATAAATGATGAAATAGCAATAAACACAAATAAAAACGATAAAAAATTATTCTAAAGCAATTAAATACAATAAAATAAAATGAAATTTTTGAGAAATATTAGACTGCCTATTTTGAAAATGTTAAGAAATTAATTTTATTAATGTTATTGTAATTTTTTCATTTATTTTCTATTAATAAATTTATTTTAACAAATAATAAATAGTTAGTTAATGGATGGATTTAAAAACATTATAAAATAAACATTAAGAGGATTTTAAAAACATTGATAAATAGATAAATTTTTAAGTTAAAATTCCTTTAAATTAATTCTACTAAATATAATTAAGAACAAGAAAAAGCTTTATATTACATTCAACATACAAACAAACAAACAAACAAAGATATTCTATTTAATTTTTATTTATAAATTTACATAATAGATGAAAATATTCAAAGAGATGGATATTAATTGATAATAAATCCAAAATATCTTGGTGTGGTTATATTTAATAATCATAAAGGAGATTTTAAATTTCTTATTGTATTAATAACTTCTTTTCAAATATAGAAACCATTAATTATTCAATAAAAAACACTTTTACATTTCATAGCAACCATTCGTAAGTATTTTGATTAATTAATTATTAGCTAATAAATATATTTAATTATTTTCTACATTTTTTAATTCAATTAATAAGATAAATTAACAAAATTAATCAATTTATATTAAAGATAATATTTTATTTTGCAAGGTAGAGAAGAGCATGAGTGATTGTAGTGTTAACTCTGAAGTAAAATTTATAACTATTCTACCAAATAATTATTTTAAGCAGATAATTAATTAATTATCCATATTTGAAATAAAGCCTGAACCTTCTCATCCAGATATGTCTATGAATTATGAAAGTAATTTAGATAAGTCATAGAGAACTAAGAATGATAGTAATACAAATAGAAATACTTCTATTAGAAGAGATCTAGAAATAAAAGCTAGTGTTGATAATAATCGTGACTTAAGATTTAATTAAGCTGACGATCAATGCTATGAAGAAGATATAAATTTGGAACAAAATAATTTATAAAAATAACAGGTTAATATGGTTAAACAATAATAATAAATAAACTCAGATAGTTAAGCAATTAATGCTTTCAAAAGAAAAAAAATAGATGCAAGTCAGGTAGGAAAAAGCAAAGACTTTGTAAATGAAAATTTTAGATAAAGCAATGATGGACTTAAAGAAATTCAATCATAAAATTAAGCTCATAACCTAAAATTAGAATTCATATAAATAGATAATGATGTATTAAACATCGAAGATCCAAATGAATTTTTTTAGGAAAACGGTATCAAAAAGAAAGCAATAGGCAAAAGTATTAGCTAAAGAAAAAATGGCAGTATAAACTCTTAAAATAGCATAATTTCTCCTTAAAGTGCTACGACAAATCAGATAAACTTCTAAGTTTAGCCACCTTCTTACTATTTCGGAGATATAAAAAAAGATACTCTTAAATAGAAGTAATAACTTTAACAATAATAAATTAACTAAGTTTAACAGCATCAGCAACAGTCAAATTAGTTACAATAAGTACTTCAATAGCAATAAGGGTAGAATTAAAATTAGCAAGAAGAAATAAGGCATAAATTTAGAATCACCAATACATCTGAAAGAGCAAGTTCAAATATTAAAGAAAGAATTCATACACATTCAAATTAAAATAATATTACCAATTAAAGCTAAAATGAAAAGTAAGTATCAAACAAATCTCTAATTTTTTATCAAATTATTTAGTTATTCTAAAATATTAATTCTAGTAATGCAAATGAAAATTAAGAAGAAGATATTGAAAATTTTAACACAAACAACATTGATTATTCTGTCTTATCAGCCTATGTAAATAGCAACAATTAATTTAGGTAATTAATTATTTTCCATTGATCAATCTAAATTAAATCATAAATTTTTATTTTTATGAAAATAATTTTTTATTTTAATAAATTTATTTAAACATTAAAAAATAGAAAAATATTAAAGAAAATTAATTTACTTTCATAAAACTTAATTTATTTAGTTATATTTTAATTAAATTTTATTTTATATCTTGCTTATAACTAACAGCGAACATGATCATCTCAATAAGTTGTACGATAAAGATACTAGTCCTTTCAAAAAATAATCTTACACTACTAAATTAGCTTAGTAGTTCGATGTTAAGAATAATCCGTAAAATTATAAATATTTTTTTTTATTTGAAAAATGTTGAAAAAATAATAAATAGATTTTAATTAACTTATAAAGGTATGCAATAAGACCGTATTCTATGGATAAAGGGTCATAGAAAAGAGTTAAGAATATATTAAATAATAGCATGAATAGTAAGATAGGGTAAAATCCTATTTAAAATCAAATATAAAACAATCAAAATGATGATGCAGTATAAGAAAAGTAGAAAAAGACAGAAAATTCTTAGAATCCGAGTGTGATTATCATAAATTAAATCTAAGGATCAGAAAATTCTAATTAAAAGAATTTTTCTAACACAGCTAATAATATTTATAAATAGACTTTAAGTTAATTGGAGAATTTAAAAGCCATAGATCCTTAATTGTAATAGCAATAAAGTCCAATTGAAAAATATGTAAATGTAATAAAATCTTAAATGAATAACTAAAATACAGAAACTAAAGCAAGTAATTTAACAAAGTCTCCTATTATTAACAAATAAAATCTTCAGTAAACTACTTAATTTGTGGAATTTCAAAAGACTTTTTAGAGTGGTAATAAAAAGAGTGTACCTGATGTGCTAAATAATACTTCAAATATTCAAAATAAATAAAATGTAATGAATATGCAAAGGAGAGTTTCATAGCCTCATTAAAGATCAATAACTTAAGATAAATACGATGAGATTATAAAAAGTGTGCTACATCCTGAAAAAGTAAATTTATTTATTTATTTATTATTTTATAATAAATTCTTTATTCTTTATAAAAAAGAAAAATACATAGGCTAAGGCTCCTGAATTCAGGACAAATGCTATTTCTGAATTAAAAAAATAGCTAAATTAAATGAGTGGCGAACTTGAATTTGAAAGATTGAAAAACTAAGAACTATATAATAAACTGCAATCATTTAGGTAAAAGTGTTTAGGCAAAATAGATCGATAAACGTAAATAAATATATTTTAATTGTTATTATATGATCATAATATTTTTACTAATAGCAAACTTTTGGCTAAAAATGAATTCGAGGCTGAGATATTGCATGTAGAGCAAAAAGTTAAGGCACTTAAAAAGAAAATTAAATAAAAGGATGAAGAATTAGTTCTGTTGAAAGACGAATCAGAAAAATAACATGTAAAATTTTAATTAATAAAAAATTTTAATTTATTAAAATTAAAATAAATTGTTTAGGCTATCTTGTAAGATTATGAAAAACTAAAGTTTGAAGTTTCGTAATACAAAGAAAATGTAGAAAATCTAATGATTAAACTAGATACCAAAGAGAAATCAATCTAAGAACTTCATAGAGCTCACAATAATGCAAATGCAGATATTGAGTTAGAATTAATTTAATTTAATTTACTTTTTATTCTAAAATTAATTTTATTTTTATTTGAAGATTAATGGATAATTAATTTTAAGATAAAATACTATGATTTATTTAATAAATGTTTAAATTTAAAAAAAAAATATATATATATTTAGGAGGTTGTTTTAAGAGACTTCAAGCCTAAAATAAAAAGTAGATGAAAAATAAGGTGAAATTGATTAGCTAGAAGGATCATTAAAAGTGGCTAATATTAAGGCATAAGAAGCTAATAAGCTAAGATAAGATATTGAAGTTTATAAAATTAGCTAAATGCAGAGTAATTAAATGAGATTAGATGCTGAAAAGAAGAAAAAAGAGTATGAATAAAAACTATCAGAGTTTAACAAGGTAAAAGAAGAAAATATTAGCTTAAAGTTAGAGATGGAGCATCAGTGCTCACAACTTAAAGATTAGCTTTAAAAAAGTAATTTTGAGTGGAAACAGCTTCAATTGACAGCTTAGAAGCTGAGTAAAGAAAAAGAACAGTTTAACTAAATTTTAAAAGAAGAATAACAAAAAAGGGATTAGTTAAGAAGTGAAGTACAAAGACTGCAATCAGAATTAAATTAAATAAATAATTAAAACAAAGAAGATCTAATTATTTAACAAAATAACAAACTTAAAACTGAAAATACAAATTTAAGACAAGAAAACCTAGCTTTGAAAGGAGAAGTTGTAAAATGGTAGAATAAAAAGTAAGAAACTGACAATGAAAGTCAGAACTTAAAGAAACAAGTACATGAATTTAAATTGTAAATTGATGATTTAAACAGTAAGATAAAAGAGTATAACTAATCAACGATGAGAGTGCAGGATGCCGACAAATTGAAAAATGAGTTTATTATACTTTAACGAGAAAAAGACAATATGTAATAATTTTACGAATAGCAAATCAAAGACCTAAAATTACAACTCAATAATGAAATTAGATAAACATAAATTTATAGCATTAAATTAGAAAATTTAGTCAAAGATTCAAAGCTGTAAAATTTTACAAATACAACTCCTATTTTAGTAAATAGGCGAGACTAAGTTGATATTAGTGGAAATACATCACCAGTTCGCTCAAATACTAAAAAACATCAAACAAATAATAACAACGATTTTAATTAGTAAGAACATGTCAGCCTTTCTTAAAAATATTCTACTAAAAATAGTCTATATATAGAAAAAAAGCTCAGTGATTGTGATTGACAAAATATCTAACTAAATTTTAATTTTATCATATGAAACAAAAATAAATAATATTTATAAATTTCAAAATTCAATCAGCTTTGCTTGCTTTGTTTTGCATCAGTTAAAGAGCTAAAAACAAAAAAAGCTAATTAAACTAGAATCACAAAATAGGATCATTTAAATCATAATAAATAAATAAATAATTATTTACTTATTTATTAACTTAATAATTAATTATCAAATAAAAACACTAAAATAATGAATGAATGATCAATGTAAATAAAAAGTAATGTAAAATATAATAAGACTCTATTAAATTAAAATAATTTATTTGAAGTATCAGATTTATTTTTAAATATTAATCATAATCTATAATTAATTAATTAATTATCATTTACCAATTTATTTGTTATTATTTTTAATCTATGTGAATATAAATTATATTCTTTATTTCAAAAATGTAAGTTGTTATTCGCCTGAATCTATTATTCTAATTTTAAAAATGATTAATTAGAGCTGAATGTATAGGCAAGAGCTAAAAGAATCTAATCTTAAATTAATTTTAAGTTGTTTTCTTTAAAATTGCTATAGTAATCCTTATAGAAATCAGAAACACCTATTGTGATTCCATTTTCTACTTTCAAAATAATTTTAAACCTTAAAATATTCACTCCACTTATTTTAAGTTCTCTTTTCAAGGGGAGAATAATTTAGAAAAAACCTACTCTAGAATTGTTCTCTTCTTTGAGCTTTTTATAGTAAAAATCTTCGAGAAATGACTTTTGCAAAAACAAGTTAGGATTACAGTCATCAAGTTTTAATTATTCATATTTTGGATTCCACTTAATTAAATCCTAAATATCTAAAGTTTATGAGACATACTGCAATATATTGTGATATACTTCAAAGTGTTTTATAGGAACGTAATTGCTAATAAGTAATACAAAAATTTTAAAATATTTATTAAGTACAGTTATTTATTTTTAAACAAATACCCAATCAAAAAAGAGCACTTGATAGGAAAAAGAGGATAGCCCAAAGAAGTCACATTCATTTTTATAGTCTCTTAGCTTCTTTCTTTCACTTAAATTTGAGCCCTATCAAACTCAACATCACAGTCTAATTCATTATTTTAAAAATTTAGTTTAAAATAGGTTCATTTATTTTTTACATTTATCTATCTTAACATAATTATAATTCTTATTAAATTAATGAGGTATTTTTTAAGATAAATTATATCAAAATTAGAAAGTCAATTAGATTATTTTATTTATTTCTATTTCCTAAAAATTATAAAATGTATTTTATATTTTATAAAAGGTTTTTATGGATTAAAATTAATTTTGATTTTTTCAAAGTATTCAAAATTTTTTATCTTTCAATGAGTAAATTTATAGGCATTTAATTTAGAGAGATTGTATTGTATATTAAACAATAGAATATTTTAAAAAAATTACTTTTTGGATTATTGTGAAGTGAAATAGAAACCTCTTTTATATCACTTAAAGTTTTGTTTTTGATGATAAAGCTATAAGCTATAATATTTTTATTTCCTTTTTAATTTTTAGCAACTGCCACTTTTAAATCAACTTCATAATATTCAGTTTTATGAATACAATACTAATCTTTTAATAATTTTTATTTTTATGTTTCTTTGAGATCTAGCTCTGAAAATATTTTTATGATATTCAACCGGAATATTTTTTAAAATTAAGGATCATCTAAATTTTCTATCGTATCATCTCCAACTAATTTATCTAATGTAGGATACATGTTTAATTATGAATCTAACAGAGTAAACTTTTGATAATTTTGTTTATTAATGTGATTAATTTGCTTATTATCTACGGGTTAATTCTATTATATAAAGTTGTTTTTATATTGTTTAGCAATTTAGTTTAATATGTTATTGTTCACTTGCTGATCATTTACATTAAGTGATGCTTGCTATTAGCTCATTTAAATCTAGTTTAAGGATTTCAGCTAATTTGGCTAAACATATTGATACTATGAAGAGTTTATATTTTTAGGACCTGGAATACTATACACTTCAGTTGAAGATATTTTTTAAGTATTTTCTGATCTGTCGTCTCTTTTTACACTAGAATTTTTAGAAGCATCAGTATTTTAATTTGAAAAGCTTTATTCTACGAATTTATCTTTATTTTTATCTTAAATATAAATTTGATTTTATTTTGGACTAAATTTATTCAAGAGTGATATATCTGTGTTATTTAAAATTTCTATTTTGTTTGTAGATGCAGATTATGTATTTTTGTTGAACTGTGCTAGCTATAATCCTTAAATTTTATTTGCAAATTGCTATTTATTAGAAGACTAAGAGATGAAAGAGATATCAACTACAGTTTCTTTATCATCATTAAAATCTCCTTTGTCATCAAATTAAATAAAACTATTTTGTTATGGTACTGAAGAGAAAAAAGTGTTTTTTTTATTATTATTTTAATTTCTTAAATTTAATATATCTTTGTCAGTCTTAGGTTATCCCTCATCTTTTAAAACACTTCCATTAATATTGTTTTTCTATTAATCTGTTTCGAGTCTGGCATTAGAATTCTGCATCTAAAAATGATTTATAGAATCTGTTTAACAAAATAAAATAATTAATTTACTAAAAAAATTAGAAACTAAATAGCACAAACATGTAAAAATTAAAGAAATTAATTTAAATAAATGCTATAAAGTTAATATATTTTTACTGGTTTTGTCCCTTTGAGTT